CTCGACGCGACCGCCTGACCCAGTAGCGGACTGAGACTCGACAAGAATCAAGACGAGTATATGTGTGACGAGTGTATGTGAGAGAGAGAGAGAGAGAGAGAGAGAGAGAGAGAGGGGGGGGAGAGGGAGAGAGAGAGAGAAAGAGAGAAAAAAAATAGGTGAAGACGAACAATGTTGGGAGAGCTCGGGGAACGGGCTCTCGCTGCGTCGTAGTTCGGGGCTACATCATAAAGGTGGAAAAGAAGCCTCGAAAGAACGAACACTTGACGCTTTGGCTGACGTGGCTTTACGTGCCGGTATAATGGCTCTTGTCTTCATCGAGGTAGCAGGTTGCATTCAGGCACGGGGGCAACTTGCCGACCAGTGCACGATACAATCGTTAAATCTGCTTAGCGGGTGCTCTTTAGTTAAATGTTTGCGCACTCGCGATTTACATTAATATTCGCGGTTACGGCGAACACGTCGTGCAAAAGAGCTCGCGATCTAATGTTTGCTTTGGGCAAGAGGAATGCGTGTGACGGAGAGAGAGAGAGAGAGAGAGAGAGAGAGAGGAGGGGAGGGAGAAAAGGAGAGAAAATTCGATTTAATGTCTCGAATAGACGAGACGTACGTGTCGCAGCGGTATTCTTTGTGGCCGCGATCTCTCTTGAGAGCGAGGGAAAGCTTTTTCTTGAAGGAAACTCATTACGGTCGTTGTACGTGTACACGCAACATTCTCGTCGTTTCACGCCCTCCGGCGATCAAGATGACATATCCTGTGAGAGTGCCCGAAATAGGTCGAATATTAAGTGCTTAATATCCGTTTGTTTGCAGTGTCGTCGCCAGCGTAGCATCCCGCTTCGAATTCGCTAATAATATCCAGCGGCGGCGGTAGTCGCTGCACACGCAGGATTCATTGACGATTTATTTACACAATATATCGGCGACGTGCCCGGCTCTCCGATATCTGCTCGCGCTCATCGTACGAGCCGCGTTACGTGTAACAAACTCGACGTCGGACTGCGTCACGTCTGAATGTCCGATATCCTTGGGACCGCGCTATTATGAACGTCAACGGGTCTAATTTCGTAGCGCGCGACGGTAAAATCGAATCTGTGCGTTTCCACCTGGCACGATTACCCACATGGCCCGTTTGTACGAGAAACGTTAATTGCCATTGGCTAGCCAGCGTGTTAATCGGTCATCTCTCGCGCACGGCGCACGCTGAACAGCCGGTCGCGTCAATAAATTAACTGTCACGTCGTGTCGCTACGATTGGATTTCTGTTGCATATTACATCCGGATCATCGCGGTACGCGTGCTTTCAACTTTCCGCGAAAGGAAAGGGAATTATTCATTCCGCGTTTTATTAATGCATCGCGCATCCATTATACTTTTACGTTCCCAGCTTCTCTCGGAGATTCTCGCGACACGCTCGTCGGCGAGGTAAATCTGTTTTCTTTCCTTCGTTCTTCCGACCTTTCCCGCGAGCTCCGCGATTTCGCCGCATCGCCGAAAAGAGAACCGATACCGGCGCGCACGCGATCGCTGATTGATACAGATATTTCATGAGATTCCTCGTTCTCTTCGTCCGGAGATTGCTCCGAGCCCGACGGAAGAGTCGCTTCGTATGAGATTTACTTTAAGAACGCTTAATCAGCAAACATTCGATACGCACGAATATAAAATCGGGGGGTCTCTTCCTGAGAATCAGATTCGTACTTTGCTACGTGCCGGTAATCTGATCATAGGAATTTCTCTCTTTCCATCTTCATTCTTTCTCCCCGTCGTTTCGCCTCGCCCTAGCTGGAACCTCCGGCCGATATCCAATCGAATCTCTTCAGCGTTCGTTTGCTATTTGCTCCGTAATGAGATTCTTGGCTAGCATGCGGATCGTAGATCGTAGACACCAGGCAGGTAGACCGGTATGTACGATATTTTTCCTGCACGCGAGAGAAAGAGCAGGAAAGGCGCGTCAGCGTGAAAATTTCATCCGCGTGCACAGCCCCGCACGCACACACATCGCGATATCCGCGCATCCTGAAGATTTTCTCGAGCACTTACTTCACTTTGATGAGCCACACGCAAACACGCGAAATTCTATTTCACTTCTATTTTCTTACCTTTCTTCCTTTTGGATTAGTTATCCTTAATATCGGCACAAAGATGCTTCTCTATTTCCTCTGGGAATATTTCCACTCACTTGCACACACACACACACGTTGAGAAGAGAAAATGATATTTATGGCTGGAATTGCGAGAAAAGTCATAATCGGGAGAAGCATTTTTGCAGTAAGCGTTGCTACGGAGTATTGGAGCAATAAAAACTTTACATACGTATTGCTATTACTAATTTCTTGTTGGAAGATACATTTGACGGCGGAAATAGCTGTAATTTGTCTCGAGATTATCTCTCGCGTTCTCTCTCACACCGATCACACCGTATCAGTCTCCGACGTATCCTCGAATGAGCGGACGTGTTCTCTCTCTCTGTGATGCCCGCAACGAGATTTTCGGGTCACGTGCCAAGTATATGTGCTTCGTATGGATGAAGTATGTATGTAAATAGGACTTTTCTTCTGACTTGTTTGCACAGGCAAAATTCATCCTCCTGATATCCGAGTGCGTGCCGATACCGACGGGGCGGAATCAGTAGCGCTGCGACGTTTAGGGAATGGAAGAAGGATGCGAAACGTCCCGTTGTATACAGCGAGAGGGGAAGACGAGGTAAATAGGTGTTTGCCGTACACATGTGGTGCCTCGTGTTGTCCTCGCATTTCTGGATTATTTACGAGAGGGATGGGACCTGATTCTCTTCCTTTTCCTTTCCCTTTGCGTGTAGCCTTCTGCAGACGGCGACTCGGACTACGAGGGAACCTCCATTATTCAACGGGGCGGCCTATCCCCCGCCAAAATGTCGGAGTTCTTCGCGTTCGCTGGATTACTTAATTCACGCGTTCCGGAAAACATTTGTCAGCAGGATATGACACCGCAATCCCTTTTTGGCGTCGGCTCACGTTTGAGAACGAGACATGATCGTTCTCCAGGATCATTTCTCATCGCCGCCTTCGATGCCTTTGGCGCCCGCAAGAAAGGATTGCACCGGATCGAAATTAGGGAACGCCTCGGAGCGCTGTGTGTGCTTTATTAAACGATAGCTTTTAATATTATCAATGCGCATCGCGTTATCCGTGCCGCCGTATCGAGGTAGCTTTAGCGAAACCGCCGCTCGCGGTTAATCGAACAGCATTATTTTTACAGAACAGTCTGCTTTTCGGCATCATTGTGACGCATTATAATTATGAAATATTTATTCGCTTCGATAAACGGTGCTGTTGCACTTGGTTAACAATATTATTGATATATATATATATATATGTATGTATATATATATATATATATACCGCGTAACGTTACGCATCTCTTGTTTCGCCCGTACGGCCATACAGTCAATCGGGGACTCTGTGCCGCTTTTTCAATTTTCCGCCAGGCGAGTGCAATCGACAGCGACGTGCAACGTGATTATAGTGTAAAAGCTATATGCTATTAACGGCGGGAATAAAATTAGCATTTTCGCGTTACGCTAAGTAACCCGGATTTTTAACGAGCGCTCCATTTAACTTTGTTCGTCTGTATTTTATTTAATCGATATCTTTGGCGCGAACCAGTCACATTCATCCTTGTCGATTATAGTCCGCCTCTTATCCGCGACGTGATTCATTATTCAATAATTTTTATTATCACATAATTTTTATCAATTCATTATTTTTGAAAAAGAAGACAAGTTGAGGATCGCGTGGATGTGGTGTCTCCATCTTTCTTCGTCCCTAGAAATCGCCGTTCTCATCAACACCTGAGATGCAGTATCGAGTAGAAACGTGCAGTCCTCGGCCGGACGAAGGTGGAAGTTACCCACGTATGATCAGACAGTTACCGCTAAGGTAAAGACACTTTTCTCCGAGGTAAAAGCACGCTGTAATCGCTTTTCTCATATTTTCATTTTCTCCGCAATATGTAACACACTTCACGACCTACTTGGTTCATGTACTTGCAACTTTTATTTTATTTTTTTTTTCACAGCAAATTGTCCCTCTTCAATAATTTTTTTCTTTTCGTTTTACGACAACCATTATTGCACGTCGTGATCTCAAAGCACAATACATCCATGTATGCGTACATCCTTTAACGATAAATTTTAATCAATCTAAGTGGACGGCAAAATTCCAGACGATGCAAAAATGCATAAGTCGCAAAATTTACTCTGTTCTCGTTCGCACGAGCGAACTCCAGTATTTCCAGTAAAGGTAGCGTTCTAACAATGAGATGTACGACTATCGGGATTATAAGCGCGTCCTGCTTTTGCAAAGAGGACATATCAAAGGTGGACGTGCTAAAAAGAGAAAAAGAGAAAAAGAGGAAAACGCAGATGAAAGAGCACGAGTGAATAGCGATTGCCTCGTTGGCGTTTATTTTCCAAGTCGGTATTACACTCTGATTATTTTATTATTATTTATTTTCACAGATCGCGCATTATAGCGCGTTATGACGCAAAACGTTTCACACTACAACCTGTCACGTGTGTGTCGGCGGCAGGCATTTAAAATAAAACGGATTACCCTATTCTTAAAATAAGTATATCGACTGGTTATATATAACTAAAAGCCAGAGTGCGCGCCTCTCTCGCGCATCTTCCACGATATCTAGCCAACCTTGACAATGCACGGTGCATCTACGACGCGGATTACACCTCATGAGGAGCAGTATTTCGTCTATTTAAGAACCTCTTGCGGATAATGCGTTTCGCAGCTCAGAAGATCTTTCTTGCCTGTCCTTCGCTGCGCGCGTCCTCCCTTTTCTTGTCTCTCTTTCCCTCCCCCCCTCTCTCTCTCTCTCTGTCTCTTTCCCCCTCTCCGTTTCTCGTTTCTTCCTCACGTCGCTGCCCCATCCCTTGCTGTCCTTCCATCGTCCCTTCGCCTCCCTCTGTTCGTCCCGCTACCCTTTGCGATGCACAACCGCGCAGTAACAGCGTAGTGCATATCCATCCACATTCTGACGACCGACTTAACCACCACACAGAGTTTGCGCAAGCGTACGTTACCGTCTCCAGGCTGGATAACGAGGGACGCTCGGGGGTGTAGACGTGGAGAGACACTGACAAATCAATACGGCAATGTCCGCCGGTAACCAGGCAGTCGGAGCTCATAGTTCGCGAGGAACGCGTCGAAGGTCCGTGCGCACGCTTAGAGATTCGTCAGCGACTCTCGTCAGAACAGTCCATTGCACTCCATGTCGTCATCGGCTTCGTCGTAACGCCGTCGAGACATCTGCCTCTGGCTGCTCGTCCGCCGCTTCATCCTGAGATCCCAGCTTCTCGAGGCGAAGTGCGCCGTTTGGAAGAAGGCGGTGGTATCCTCGAGCGTCGATGCTCCAGCGGTTCTCCTCGGGTAACTGACCTTGTGCAACAGCGCGAACATTCGGTTCTCTCTCTCTCTCTCTCTCTCTCTCTCTCTCTCTCTTTCCCTCTGTTCCTCTCTCTCTTTCTCTCTCTCTTTCTCTCTCTCTCTCTCTCTCTCTCTCTCTCACGCTCTCTCTCTCTCTCTCCCTTTGGACGAGAAGCCACCGCAGCGACTTCGCGACGAGAGTCTTTCGCTGAAATCGGATCTCTCCGCGCAACTCGGGAGATTCCTCGCCGATTTTAGTCCCCTCCGGAAACGAAGAGGAACACGCATACTGCCCTCGGCCGCATATACGTTCGGCCAGTTCCGGACTCGACGTGGGATCTCGCACACGCATATATACAAGAAGAGAGAGACAAGAGCCGACGGGAGGAGAGACTAAGCCGCCTCGCGAGAGACTCTTGAGAGCTACCAATCGTTATCAGCGTCGCTGGTAAAGTGGTCCAATCCTTACCCGGTACCACGATCGAGCTAATAGGCACCCGCAAGGCCGCCAGGCTACTACAGCGTCTGGTAGGCGTGAGTGATTGGTCCTTCCGCACGGATTTACCGAAACATCCCCAAAACGGCAACCCGTCGTCGTCGTGGTGCTGCCGGGGCCCCGCCGTTAGCCGCGAGAGATCGCGAGAAGGGAGTTTGGGGGGATCGGCGGGAGGATCGGCCTATTCGTACGAGACCGGAACTCGCTCCTGGTACGCCGCTTGCTGGCGGCCCGGTGAGATGGAAGAGAAGTCCTCTGCCCGATTTTCCGAATACCTGTTCGCCAAGATGGGCGGGCAGGACGTCTCGGCCTCTCAGGGTCCCCGCAAGGTGACCGCCGACACCAGAAAGTGGATGCGGGAGAACCTCCTGCTCATGGTTACCCTATCCGGCGTGCTCTTCGGCGTAATCCTCGGTGAGTACGATGGGGAGGGTGGGTTTCGGCTCGCCCCATCTTTGTCGCGCGGTGTTGAAGCCGCAACTTGAAATCAATTGAAAGCAACGAGCGGAGGGAAATACAATCAATTCGGAGCGGAGAATCTCCTCGAACAAAGGGAACATTATTTCGTTGCGAGACGAAAGAACTAGAATAATTGATGATACCTGCTGCTAGATATGAATCAGCCTGTATAGTCGGTTACTGCTTATATGTACGTTAAAGCCGTCGAAAGATACGATAAGGCAAATGGATATTAGGTTGCAAATACTTAATGAGAACGATAGGTGGGGGAAGCGAATGGAGAGGAGGGACGACACACACGTACACACAGATTACTGTGTGATATAAAATTTACGCAGTACGAAGGTACGAGAACCTTTCGCGCTTATCATTTCATCTATCGTCGTCGCTTTATGAGCCAACGATAAATGATGACCGTCACCCGCGGTGATTTCTACAACAATCGAGTTATCGTACGCGCAATCGCTTCGACATAGTTTTATCCTTTCATTAGATTTTTTATCCGACTTTTATACTGCTCACTAATTTTCCCTTCTTGCCACTTTTGTTATTATTTTTTTTTCCTGCTGGCATTAATACAGAGTTCTCAAAGATTCTGTCTAATAATTAATTTTACAGATTTTGTTTCAACTACTAACCGCCTTGTTTTACTGATCGGTAAATATTATACTGTGTGTGTGATCGCAGTGAAGAGTAGTTTAACAGTTGGCCATTTTTAAATGTTTCACAAGCTATCAGGGACATTTTTTTAATATTTTACAAACTGAAGCGTGTCGCAAATATATATGATATATATTTTTTCCCTCATAGAAACATGTTAAGGCTAAATAAAATCGATAATCATTATTACTTGCACACGACGTATTTACGGTATATCGTAATGTTGCAAAATCACAAATATTTTTTCTCACATTTGTATCATGTAGAAGAGACACACACAATTAATGCAAATGGATATTAAGCACGTTAATTATTAGCGTAATTAGCGACTACCGTAACAGATACTGCATTTCCATAATTAGACGGAGAGATGTCTAGAGACAGTGACAGCATGCGTAAGTCGATATGATTATCAGGAATACTTACGCGCGAATGGTTAGCCTCCAAGGGCTTCTCGGATGTCATTGTCACCCATCGTGACGCCGTTTCGCGATTATGAGATCAAACAGTCGAAGCTTGCGCGGAACACGTCAACTGACTTGTACGATTTTAAAATGCCAGCGGCTTTGTATATAGAAGAAGATAAACGTGTCGGAAAACAATTATCTTATCCCTTTGACTCTTGAAATGCTTGTAGAAAAATCAGAGTCTCTCTCTCTCTCTCTCTCTCTCTCTCTCTCTCTCCCCCCCTCTCTCTCTCTCTCTTTCTATCTCTTTCTCACGTTCCAAGCGGCGTGTAGCACGTTCGAGCGCGCTCATGAAAATCTCATGGGTGAGAGAGACAGTCGGAGATATTTCATGTCTCACACAATATACGACGCGCAGCGAACTTTTGCACAAATCGATTTTATGTGTACGCCACCAACGACCCAGTTCGAAATTATCGTTGGTTACGTAAATACGTATACCGTTATCTCGTTAAAAGGTGCCAATCATCGGCCAAGGGTTTCCTTGGAAAGTTCGATCGCGTGCGTTTAACGACGCGAGAATCGTCCGCTTGGGCGCATCCCGCGTGATTCCGCGCGTGCGACGCGATTGCGACGTTTGGAGAAATCATTTCAGCGATCGGTAAATGACGTTAATAGAATTCGGCATACGATATCACACGCCGACGCAAATCTCCGCTCCCGATGGCTCGACTGATAAGCGTGCATGCAACGTCTATAGACACCTTGCTACAAATAGAAAGCCCGACGGCGTAGTAATAATTTACAAGACGCTGCTCGATAGGTCAGTTTGACTCTAAATCAGAGCCTTTCATTCAGATCCTTTTTTTAAGCGCGACAAACGTCGTCATCGTGTTACGTTTTTGTGCAAACACGCCGACGGAGCGACCGTCCCACACCGTTGGCACTGTCAGTCTGCGCGGGTGTACGTGCCGGAAGCGGGCGATATTACAACCGTACTGACCTCGTGCGACTAGAATTGATCAAACCTTCACCTTTCCGCCCCAAGCAGCCAGGACTGCCTTTCTTCGCGTTTAAATGAAAAGCCAGTTTAAATATAGTTCAAGGCCGTGCCTTCTGTAGAATCTCCCGGGCGTTAGCTACATGCCAACGGGAAAGTAACGTCGCAGTGACGTAGAATCGCCAATTGATCTTGCGATGTCCTTCCTCAGGATTCGGCTTGCGTCCCTTGGATCTCGGAGACGACGCGGTGATGCTCATCAGCTACCCGGGAGAACTGTTTATGAGGCTACTGAAACTGATGATCTTGCCTCTGGTAATCGCCAGCCTTATATCAGGTGAGAGCTGTTGTTGTTTCGTTCGACGCACGCAAAGCAAAGCGACGCGTGTGTCGGCGGGCGTGTCTCATGCGCCTTTACCTCGCGTTCCAGGTTCAGCGAGTTTGAACGCCAGGATGAACGGGATGATCGCTGTTCGTACTTTGGTGTACTTCATACTGACGTCCTTGCTCAACGCTATCCTTGGGGTAGCCCTAGTCCTCGTTATTCATCCCGGTAATCCCGGCATCAGAGAATCGATCGGTCCCTCGCATCACGCGAGGGCCGTTAACATACTCGACAGCCTGCTCGATCTGGGAAGGTAAATTGTGCCAGTGATATCTTGTCGGTCGATCGAACGATCGAACAGCAGCGGCCCATCGATTCTATCAATATTGATCATGTACACAGACTTGCTCGCGGGGAAGATTTTCCCATTGAAAACGGATGGGTAATTAGGCGCGAAGGTCGCGCCGCATGCGGGACGCAATAAGTAAACGGTGCTAATGAAGAGTCAATTCCGCTCGCTTCAGCCGGGAAGTTGGTCGTTTAGATACTCGTGCGTCTTTCACACTCGAGGCGGAATATCGGGAAAGTTTTTTAACGAAGATCCCCGACGAGAGAAGGGACTCTTGTCTGTGTCGCGACACCGAAATGTGTCGATTAGCGTGCGCGCGACATTGAAATAATATCGATTTAAGATACTCCTGCCTGCCTGCCTGCCTGCCTGTCCCATCTGTCCACACCGTCGTCGTTGGAACAGCATAGTTAACTAAAACGGATTAAGGTCATGGGTTTCGCGAGCTGTAAAACCCGCTAAACGGAGAATTCACGGTGATCGCGGATACCAGTCGTCGGGACGAAAATAAATCATCGATCGGGTTGCGTGTTTTATTCACACACGAGGCGCGCTCAAAAGCTCCGGTTTAAGCCGCGCAATATCTATATGACGCGCGCTGGATCTTCTCCCACCGTCGGATTAAAGGCAGAGCACAGCGGCTCATTATCGGAAACTGTTTAATATGCGTTCGCTTCAGCAGCGCGGCGTAAGATCGGCCAAGATCGCTTTTTCACTGCGCAAAATCGCTGCGGCTTGCGATGCGAGTAACGCGGCTTGATAGGCGCTTAAGGTTTATGGATAAAACGAAGGCCGACGGGAAGCACGTCGTTCGCGACGATACGCAGCTGTTCGTCACGACGCGGAAAAGTGCTCTCTGCGTCTTTCGATGCTTTTCGACCGAGTTACTCACAGTTCTGAATGAATTACTTTGCAGAAACATGTTCCCGGACAATCTGTTTCAAGCAGCCTTCCAACAGGTGAGAGTCGGCCTGCCTGATTCTCTAAGCTCTCTCTCTATATATATATATGTATATATATATATATATATGTGTGTGTGTGTGTGTGTATTATACGTCGTCGGGATAAAATCGATTCGCCGTGTGAAATGCATGACTCCGTTCCAGGCGCACACGGTATACGTCCCGAAGAAGCAGCCGTTCCAAAACGACACCGACCGGCTGAACGAGGTGCTGGGGGACGAGGAGCTGATGAGAGTGATACAATACAGAAGCGGCACGAACACTCTGGGCATAGTTTTCTTCTGCTTGGTTTTCGGCACGTTTCTGGGAACGTTAGGCGAGAAAGGCCAGGTCGTGATAGACTTCTTCAAGGCTGTGTTCGAAGTAATCATGCGGATGGTATCGACGGTCATGTGGTGAGTATGGTAATCGGAGACGAACCATGTGCTTCGTATGACTCACCCGGGGTCGGGAAGTACGCGTTGCTTCTTCGTTATCGACGCAAGTCGCTTTTCCTAGAAACAATTTGCTAAGAACGGTTGATAGAAATTAACTTTCATAAATGATTATCGCCTTTTACTTTTAATTCGGTGGAGAGAGAGTAAGGGAAATTACAAAGACCACTTTTGAGAAGCAACCTCTCCAATCGCGCGGACTCGTCACAGACGTCGAGACGACAGAGACGACAGAGAGGAACGAGACTTTCTCGCTTGCAGGATGACACCAGTCGGCATCACCTCCGTGATAGCGGGCAAAATACTCGGCGTGGACGACCTGGTACTGGTGATGTCGCAGTTGGCGTGGTTCATCGTCACGATCGCGATCGGTGTCTTTCTCTATCAGCTGGTGATCATGCAACTGATATATATGGCCTTCGTTAGAAAGAACCCCTTTAAATTCTACGCCGGCCTGGCCCAGGGTACCCTCACCGCCTTCGCCATGGCATCAACGTGAGTCGTCGATCTTCGAACCTGAGCCCGACCTTGAGAGAATCCATTTCGCTTGCCTCACAGGGCCTCGGTCAACGTTGTGATCGTACTTTCTGACCTGGTAGCTCCGTTTCCTCGTCGGTCGTCTCCCGCAGACACACGTTCCTACACCTCCCTCCCGGCCCTCTTGTTCGTATCACAAAAACACACACGCCTACCTCTCTACGCTTGCGCGGAATGGAGCTGGTCTGTCGCGCGTATATTGCATAGTGCCGATGATGGTTGAATTCCAAAACATTCGACGTCGTAAAGATAGACAACGGAAAGATAGACAACGAGTGATGATACGGTGACGATGGAAGACGTGTACCGAGTTCAAATCGATTGATAGAGACAATATGTTTCAGCCAGCTGTGTGGAGGCTTTGCGAGGCCACGGTTATCCCGTTATCCCTCCCGCATCCTTAGCGCCAGCCTTACACGACTTCCGGCCATGATATGATCCGCCAAATGATGAACGTATGCCGTATACAGAATTGACCGACTCGGTCAGACGAAGACGTCGTGGAACGCTGGGCCAATTCCCAATGATCCCACCGCTCCCTCCTTCGCCCCTGACAATCTCTTTAATGTTTTCGCGAGAAGAGCTCGCCATGCCCCATGAGAAAGAGAAAAGAGAGAAAGAAAGGGAGAGAGGTATGCAGTTCCGGGTAGCACTTAGGATGCTGATACTGCCGGTTGCGCCGATCGCGCGCGCACCAGTCGAACGCGAACTTCCGAGGAACGTTGCCGTTCGGGTTCTTAGCGGGCAACGCGAGCGGAATTTCGTTGTCGCGCGCGGTGACTGAGCATCACCACGATCACTGTCACGAGCGAGAGATCGCGAAGTGATGTCGAAGGAATCGAGAATATAGTCGCGAGAGTGCGGAACTAGCCGGGTGTGAAGCATGTTCCCTGAACCGGCCATCTGCTGACTCCGTGTTACCTGGACTGATTCGCGGCGTGGAAGCCTGCCTAGGTGAACTCGGTGAACAGGGAATCTTCCGACTTCTCCCGTCGCGACGGCGAGGGAGGAGGAAGAAGATATACCGCGCCAAAGGAGGCTTTCACGCCGAGCCACATGATTATTATATAAACCTAAGTACACACACTGTTCTGTAAAGTAAAAAAAAAAGAAAAAAGAAAAGAGAGAAGAGAGAGGGAACTGAAAAAATATTGGTTGCTCGTGTCGAGCTCGCTACTCTTGCAGGTACGACGAGGACGTCGATGACCGGCTGTACTGCTGTGAACAACGTGCGATCATTTGTTTCTTGATAATTCATTTCTGAGAGTCACGCGAAGCAACGATCATTTTTTCAGTTCGCATTTACCAGTGATCCCTGTGACAGCGCGAGCTCCTACTTTTCTTTCGTCCTCCATACACGAAACGTTCATTAAGAAAAAAAAAAAAAAAAAGAAAAGAAGAAGAAAAAAAAGAAAAAAAGAAAACATCACTAACGACTTAGAGACGATCAAAGAATCCTCTGATTTAACGAGAGCAATCGTCCAAACTCGTCTCCACCACTCGCATCCCGCATTTCTCGATCATCTCGCCTCTCCCCTTTTGTTACTTTGACAGTGCTTGTATATCGTTTTATGATTCCCGGCTAGGTCTATATAGTCACATCTAACTCAATCTGTTTTCTCTGTGGATTAACTGTTTCCAGAAGAGAGCGTACACAACTGTGCGTACACTGTGACTGAGAGAAACTGTTCTCAGTGTATCTGAACAGAGACTGTATAATCATGATGATGTATTAGAACACGCACTGCACGCGGCCTTTTGCAGGTGGTTGAAAGACCGAGGGTAGCCCTTGGTAAGTAATTGATGGCCGCAACATGAAGGTACATACGATTGTCTGTTGTAGGATCTTGCAGGCAACGCGGTCCGCGGCTGATACCTTGGGCGATGTCGTCTGAGCTAATTCCGCTTAATTTTCAGGTCGTTCTCTCACGGTCATTCTGGCTGTTGCTGGCACCCCTTTCTACTATTCGCAGACATTTTCCGCAATTAACGTAATCGATACATCCAAATTCTCGGCACTCGGCGAGCATTTCCCTCCCTTCATTCGTACCGATCATCGATTCTCTCTCTGCCAATCACTCTCTGCATCTCCGCTCTGCTCGATTACAAAAAGAAACGAAAAAAATGCCTTTCTCTTCAAATCGCATCTGAGAGACTGAGTCACGTCTGAGAGTCACGCCACCAATATATCTCACTTGTACATAAGTTTATGCCAGAATGACCATTCACTGCGGCAACAGGCGACGTGGAATGCATCTTTCTGACTACGCCGGCAGCATGCTTTGCCCGATCTTTGCTAACGCAGCTTTGTACAGGGCTGCCGCGCTTCCTGTGACTTTTCGTCTGATGACCGAGAAGCTCAGAGTCGACCCTAGAGTCACCAGATTCGTCCTGCCGATCGGTTGCAATATTAACATGGACGGTACCGCGCTCTTCGTCGCAGTGGCTAGCATATTCATCGCTCAGATGAACGGCATCTTTCTCGGCTTCGGGGAGATTATCACCGTCATGTAAGTCGGACTAGCTAACTCACCAGCGATCGAGCGCTTCTCCTCTTTCTGCGTGCGCGTTGACTAATTCGTCGTCTTCTATTCTGTCTTCTATTCTCGTGAAGTCTGACGTCCACCGCTGCTTCCGTGTCATCGGCCTCGGTACCTAGCGCTGCCCTTGTCCTGCTGTTGGTCGTCCTAAGCGCCATAGACGCTCCTGTTAACGACGTGTCTCTCTTGTTCGCCATCGATTGGTTCGTGTGAGTATCCGTCCGTAAGCGCGCAATCATTTTGTCGAATCGAAGGGAAAAGTGTCGCGCGAAATTGGAATTGCCTGCGGAAAATAACGATGAAATATATATGTCGCAATAGATCAAATAATTGTTTTCTTCACGCCGTCTTCGGCAACAACTCTCTCTCTCTCTCTCTTTCTCTCTCTCTCTCTCTCTCTCTCTCTCTACGACAGACATTTTCTGCTAATAGAGATCGGATAAGGACCACCAACAATATGCTGGGAGACTGTTACGCCGCTGCCGTGGTCGAGCAACTGTCCAAGAAGGAACTAATGGCATTGGACGCGGCAGCCTATCAAGTAAAATATCTTAATTAATATCTTCGTAATCGCGCGAATACGGATTTGTCAACTTGTGCGCGTATAATATACGCTCGCTCAACGATCCGTCCCGCTTGAACTTTGACCACGACGCTGCCGCGCGCGCGCGTGTGTGTGTGTGTGTGTGTGTGTGTGTGTGTGTTATAAGAACGCGCAATAAATTCCATGGTTTCAGTCGGAGACGGTGCTGCCAACCACCATCGCCAATGGATGTATTTCCGCCAACAGGGTACCTGATCCTGACACTGTGGTCGTCGAGATGCAGGACGACGCACGGATAACGGGGATCGCCAAGTAAACACACTTGTTGGTAGGGCTAGGCTATCACTTTGTACGATCGTACTAGATCACATTGTTTCGTTAATGACATCGCTCAGTTCATCATTGGCTTACTTGCAGATCGATAAGCAAAGTGAAGATTCGACATCTCGAGGAGACCGTGAGTGCGTGGGCGGGACGAAGATACGTCGGGGTTGAGCCGCGTCCTCTCGCGTAAATCCGCGTCGCATCCGTCGTGAAAGTGATAGTGAAGAGTAGAAGGAAGAAGAAGGAAACGAGACGCGCCCACGGTCTTCCCGCGATGTCTGATCTTCAAGTGCAAGCAAGCGAAAACATCCTTCAGAGATCGTTCTGCCTCTCGTTTCAGCCTCGGAGCATTGCACATGTCACGGAGTGTGACGGAGGAGACCGTTTGACTAGTGGCTAGCCTCGCAGAATAGTTCAACCACCGTGTAGAATCCTATCAACGAGTAAATAATCTCAGCTCCGCGAGCTGGACGAGCGCATTGAGCGACGGGACAACGGCCTGTTCATCAAGGATCAAAAAAGGGTACATAGGTTGCGCTAACGGCGCGTTTAGTTCCTCTGCTTCTCCTCGTTCTGATAATTTCCGAAGTTCGCAAGGATCTTCCGCGGTGGAGTTCTGCAAAACTAACAATGAGAAAGAGAAAGATGGAGAGAGAGAGAGAGAGAGAGAGAGAGAGAGAGAGAGAGAGAGAGAGAGAGAGAGAGAGAGAGAGAGAGAGAGAACTCTCACGGTCGCCAGTGCGACCCACTGGGAAATTCAAAGTCAATAAATAATGCGGAGAATGCGTTGCCACGTTGAGAGATGCAGATACAGCAATAAGAAACGATATACGTAAACTTTTAAAATGCTTCAGTCGAGATTTCCGCAAGCTCGGAAAAGAAGGATGCTCTGTCAGAGAGGAGGATGCGCGATGGCAGTTTCGCCGTCGCGCATCGTCAACTACGCTCGACGTTGTCGAAATGTAATTAAAGAGTGGAGGTATGAGTCGTTCAACGACCCCCCTCCCCCAACCCAGGAAAATTACAGACTGAATTGGCAGAAGAGGTTGATTGGACTGGCCGACCGACTGACCGACTGACCGTACGACTCGAAACTTGAATAGACGATAGATGATCGTAGGGCGAAGACTCATACACAAAGTAGCGAGAAAAATGCAAAAACAGGAAACAAAGAAAAAAAAAATACCAGGTGATCACCGATTCGACTGCGCTACTCCCGTAGGAATCAGTGATCGTTTCTACGATCGATCGCGTAAACAGCGTCGAATGTGGTGCCTTATTTCAATGCGCCAATTACAGACAGGCGCGATGAAAGTAACGAGAGTTTCTTATGTTCTTTTTTCGGGTGTCACCCTTGCGCGTATTAATGTGTGTCGGCGCTGATTCCAATTACTGACGCTTTTTCGATGTATTTAGAACGTCCTAGGCCCCGCACACGCATATAGACACACACGTATACACACACACACACACACACGCGCGCGCGCGCGCGATGGATCGAGCACACGACTGTTTTCAGTGACACGCAACGGATACCAGTTTCTACCGATGATAGAGAAATTTTTTACGACGACTGTTGGGAAAAAGAACTCGATGTGATAACATTGTTAGATAGCTATGTGCATACCTACATATCTAGGACACACACGACGCAGGTACATTCAATCGCATCCTCATATACATATACCTATACTGTAATACCGTATTTAGGCTACTTGACCAAAGACCACGCGTACTTCGTATCGCGTATCGTCGTCACTGATCGCAATCCGAAATATGAGAGAGAAATTCCAAAACACGACTCACACGCGTCGACAGTGCATGTTTCTGCGGGGATCAATGTTTAATCACACGCGAAAAATGCGGCTGAAAAAAAAGAAGAAAAAAAGACTTACGCGAGCGGGCGCGGGACTTTAAATAGTTTTTAAAAGTCATATCGAGGAAATTAACTATCGGACCATTAATGAACGGAAAACTGACGCGTAGAACTATTTACGTGCCCCGCTTTCAAAAGACACGTGTGTTTTCGGACGAAAGGGTGCTCGTCGAGACGGAAGCTTGAGATCCTGATCCTGTTCATCGTGCTGAGAAAGTCGGGCGACTCGAGGGAATTACGTTTTCTGCCCGTTTAACACAAGAAATTTTCATAAGAAATTTTTCACACACACACACATCGGGGATATCGCGAGAAAGAATCGTTTCCCTCGGGTAATTCCTTATATGAGGAGGCACGTTTTTTGAAATTTCCGATGACGTTCGTGTTTTCGTCGGGTACGACCACGAGTGTACAAGGACTCTGTCTCGTCGCGCCTTTTCGGCTAGTATTCCTTGCCGTAGAGTAAATATACCTTCCAGTATAATGTTGTCCACTCAAGTAGCTTAGTAACAACAACAAAATCTGTGTTTCGATCGTGATGCGAGTGACCATACGTATCCGATCTATTAAAAAAGAAAAAGAAAAAGAGAAAAAAAAAGAGAAATTAAATAAGCGCGACTTCTCGTCGAGCGGCAACAAGACTGGACACACCATATAACAATATCGTTTTTGCTAGACATAACGTAATTGGTAAACGATCCTCTTATAAAGGTTTCGCTGATTTTAGGCACTAGGTAGGTAGGTCGATACGTGTTTCATCGTAGAGACTGTTTAAATGTACAAACTATTCGAGTACATAGCATTATTAGCGTTCATGGTAATTATTAATGTTCATTCACCTGTATGGGTTTCGGCGCGTTATTCGGGTTGTTTCCTTCGTTAAGCGATTCGTTCAGCAGTTCGCATGTGCGAGGGAAAAACAGATTTCCGTTGTTACGACGAACGGGACAGAGGAAGCGAGCGAAAAAGAAATTGTTTCACGCTAGCGTAAGGATTATTCAATGCAATCGCATGTTAGGTATACGTTCCAGAAGATGTAAACTTAAGGGCTAGAACTCGTAAACGCATGAATGGTATTTATACACACGAAACATCGAAGTGAGATCGACTTGACGATTGAAGCAATGCAGGAACCAATAGTTGAGCGAGAGAGTCTTTGGTTAATACTTAAGAACAATACAACTGATAACGGGTACTCTTCGTTAAATTTTACTTGTGCGGCTAGATTGTACTTTCGTTTATTCGATAGATTCTCGAGTTAGAGAGAGTTTGGAATACCCTGCCATTCTTTCGAGTGATATATCGGGTGCTCCCGTTTTTTCACTCGGCACGTTTTACCCTCGGTCATTGAGAAAGTAGAGGCACCGACTGTCCTAGTTGCGGGGGCAAAACGGGCGGAGGAAAGAAGGGATAAACTTATCAAAATAATCCGATGAATACGTGTTAATATACTTATAAGGCTCAACGTGTTGTATAACAAGATGCAAGTTTATACGTGGGAATACTCTGCCTCTTTTTCATTGACAAAGTCCCCGTCACTTCCCGATTCCCCTTAGCGCGCGAGATAAGACGAAACAAACCTGCCGCACGGATGAGGACCGAGCGAGGTGAGTCAGGATATGATTCAGAGAGAAACTAAAAATATCCTAAAAAATTCATTTATTTAAGGCCCACATCGCGGAAGGCCCTCAGCTCGGAAGTCTTTGTACAGAGAGCGATTTATACAAAATATCAGACATATATTTATATATATATATATATATATATACTTTTTGTTTTCAGTGCGTATGTATATGTGCCTGGGGCTGAGATTCCATCCCCCGTTACATCGAGATCGCGCTCGGGGGATGAGGACGAAATAACAATTAATAAACGAAGACAGGGTTTTATTTAGAGACGCGCCGCCACGAAATCTGGTGTGTGATCAGTTCGCTCGTGGTAGCGTGGGTTTTCCTTCCGCTCCAATAATATCGCCGTGTTCGTCGCGCAGCATTAACCACGTAGAAGAAGAAGAAGAGAGAGAGAGAGAGAGAGAGAGAGAGAGAGAGAGGGAGGGAGAGAGAGGGAGATAGAGGTTCGACTTTATAAAATTAGATTACCGTAATATATACATGTATCCGCGCGTCTCGATGAACACGGCGCAATCATTGAGCTTCCGTTTACATAAGGGCAGTCTATCCTTTTGATTATGACAACGTCGCTATTTCTCGTGAATTGTTATTTACAATGCTACTTAATGACTATACGCCGTCGCACCCGGCGAATATTTACAACACATTCCGTTCAGGAAGCATCTCCCTTCGAGGCTCGGTTATCAATCGTAATCGGAACCAGAGTGACGCGTCCGTATTGTACCCCAAACACGACAATGTCGAGATGCAATCGCCGCTTTCCCGCACACCACTCCGCTCGTGAGTGAGACGGGGCGATATTGAGAGATAGAATCGACGTCCGAAACGTCGGAAAGAGTCGATTAATTTTTCACCTTCTCATAAAAAAAATATCTGTTGCGTAGTGAACTATCGAGAAGTGAGGTTAATCATCGAAGAATGAGAACGCGGGACGGAGTCCGAGGGGCAATTTAAATGAAAAACACTCGGTGAAGTATTGAGAGAAAATGAAAACAATTGATTTTTTAACAATACAAAAGAGACGAGAATGGAAAAGTGATAAAAAGAATCGAACATCGATTCATCAGTCGTACATACATCGCCCATCTGCAGAGTGGGATGTATTAATTTCATTACTCGCAGCGCGGTGAATTGAGACTATCTAACGCTTCACGCTTCGTTAATTAATTAATTACACAGTGACGATGAATCGCGGGAAGGTGGCGTTTGCGCGAAGGAATGATCCGGTCGTCGCTCCTTTCGACGGTCAGTCTCGCAAATTGAAACTCCTAAATTATAAAATCACTCATTAACACACCCGCGAGTCACCCGCGAGTCACGTGGCTCGCGCAGAAATCGCAGAAGAGAGAGAGCTACATTTCTTTGTCTTCCGCTTCACATCGCATCTCGTAATCGCGGCTAACAACAAGTATCAACAGAAATACACGCACACGAGGCACCGCGTCAACTTACCGGCGTCACTTCTCCGGCGAGTCATCTCACTGGATTTAACACTAAAACTTGTACACGCGATCACACACGGACCGGACGCGAGATCACACAGGGTCCTCAAATCCTAAGCTCGGCGTCGGTAACAGGAATTCCTCGGTTGGCACTTTGACTTGACCTCTGCGTGGCGGGCGGCACGAGAGGGCTGATGCTGGGACTTCTCGTGGCCAAGGGCGACAGGGACGGTGAGAAACTCGGACTCAGCGCGGCGGAAGGGAAGGTGGAGGCGTCGTGGCTGATCGGCGACCTCGGCAGAATGCCTCTGGCCAGTGCGGGCGCCGCCAATGACCTTGGCGCGACGGAGGTAAGCAACGGCGGCGGTGGTGCTTTATGTACAGACTTGGTCTTGCCGCTGCTGCCGGAGTTTCCGCTCTGCACGCTCGCGGCGTCGTCCTTCAGCCTGGCGATCTCGCTGAACACGTGAGCCAACGGCTGGTACTGAGGTCCCCAGTCTAACAGATAGTCCCAATTGTACGAGCCGGTGAGCTCCTCCTCGCTATGCACGATGGAGCTCAAGGAGCCGTTCATCGACGGTCCACCTGGCACCTCCAAGCCGGAAGTAGGTCGCCCGGCTTCACCGATCTTCCCGTAGATGAGCGTCGCGATGTCCGCCTCGGTGCTAGCTTCGTCCTCGAACAGATGCAGACTATCCAGGGGTAGAGCTTCGGGTGGTCTCCTGGGTGTGCCGGCCGGTGGGTCCACGATGCCCAATCTTGCTAAATATTCCTGAGTATTGTGAACAGAGAGGTCGCTCGCGGAATCGCCAGTCTGCTGGCCCTCGTTGATCATCCTGATCTCCTCGTCTTCTCCGTCATCTTCGGCGGAACCCCTGCCGGAGGAGCCTGACTGATCGCTTCCGGAGAGTTCGGAGGTAGCCTGCTGTTGGCCGGATTGGCCGGATGTTCCATACGGTGGTATCTCGTCGTACTTGGGAGGAGCGAACTGGCAGGATGCGCCGCCACCTGCTCCCCCGGCACTGGCTGAGCTGCCGTTTCCGCTCGCACCGACTCCAGCCACGCTTCTGATCGGAATCGTGTCGAACGCGCTCGGATCCACGTAGCTGTTGGACGCGGTAGCGTTGTTCTCCGCGCTCAGACCTGGCTTCGTGCCGGGTTTCTTGTGACGGCGGTTACGAATGTGAAAATAAAGGAAGATGGTGCCGAACGCGAGTACGAGGAGAAGCACGGCGATCAGCAGGCCCAGAGCCCAGTCGGCCAAGCCTCCGCCGGTGGCCATAGCCATGTTCAAGCCGTTGTCCATAGTAGTAGCTCCTCGAGCTCCGTTCGGCTCGTCGTCCTCCATCAGGGTGATCTCCACTATCGTGATGTTGGACAAAGAGCCTTGCCTGCCTGAGCTCGCGCTTACCATCAACTTCGTCAACTCCTCCGCGCTCATGTCGACGTGCATCAGTTTCTGCTTCACGATCAATGCGCCAGTAGTGCGATTCAGCTTGATGTAAGGATGCTGAGATATCAACTGGTACACAACCCGACCATCGGGCCCCTTATCGCGATCAGTCGCCGTCACGTGACCGATCACCGTGCCGGGTAGCGCTTGGGCAATGTTGCGTATGACGAATCGGTACGTCTTCTCGGTGAACTGCGGATAGAACTCGTCCCTCGACTCGATCTCCACCCTGACACGTACCGCAGCGGTGCGACCACCCATGTCCGTGGCGCGCAACGTGAAGGCGTACCGATTCCGTTGCTCGTAATCGAATACTGCGCGAGCGGTGACGATACCCGACTTATCGTCGACCGCGAACAGCTTCCAGCTGTCGTCGATGTCGGAGAAGCCGGTCGCAGCGGCGGAAACGATGGAGTAGTTCAACGACCCGAAGATACCTCGGTCCAGATCCGAGGCGCGCGCGGAGAACACGGTAGTACCGACCGGCTCATTCTCGCCGACGAATTCGAGGTATTCGGACACGGGGAACTTTGGCGAGTTGTCGTTCACGTCCTCCAAGTGAACTCGTAGCTTGGCCAACGCACAGCGAGGCGACACCGGGTCGCTGTCGCATGTCATCATCACGAGATTGTAGACCTCGGGTTCAATGTCGCAATCGAGCGTGGAGTTCACCAAGACAGCGCCGGTCGTCCTTTCGACGCAGAAGCGGCCACCGTCGTTCCCTGAGGTGATGTCGTACACCAATGTGGCCGCCGCGCTGCCAGCCAAATCGTCGTCTTTGGCCCGCAACACGGCAACGGTCATTCCGTGCGGAGCGTCCTCCTTGATCGATACTTCATACAGCTCATCCAGGAAGCGCGGGTAGTTGTCGTTCACGTCCTCCACGATGATCGTCACCATCACCGGCTCGTCTCCCACCAGCGAGCCTGCCGTCATGTTTCCGCCCTTGCTGCCCAATCGCAACGTGTACCTGCAACATTGAATACATGTACGATTTTTAGAATCTTTTGATACTTCGGAATGTTTAAACATCCTCTCGAACAACAATGAGACCGAGATTATAAAAATTATACCGAGATTATATAAATAATAAAAAGTAATCATGATGACAACCACGTGAGGCAAAGTAATAAACTGTGATGAAATTGATTACATAATTAATCGTTACCATAATTTGTTTACAACATCAACTGTAACTTGCCATAATGGAAATTGCCACAAAGCAATCATGACGTAATGTAAGTGAATAAATTGTATGAAATGAAATTTTTATTTCAACTAACGACACTTACATATCCGTTGTCTCGCGATCAAGTGTCTTCGAGAGGATCAGCCTGTCCCTAGATATCTCGAATACTCCGCCATCGTCGCCCGCAATGATGGCCCCGTCCGCCAAGTCCACGTCGGAGAGCCTCATCAACGTCGTACCCTTCGGCGAGCTCTCCTTCACTGTGATCTTGTGGTCGCGTCCAGGAAGGGCGTTCTTCAAACTGCTAAGTCGCACAATCACCGAGCATACCGACGACGCCGGCGGCATGCCGTAGTCCTCCGCGACGATCACCAGATCCAACTCCTTCGGCAAGGGCCTCGGTATCGCCGTGCGATTGACCGTCAGGACTCCGGTGACAGGGTGTACCGAAAATCCCTTGACGGGTCGCAACAGATAATACCGTATCCGGCTGTTCTCCTCCGTAAGGTCGTCGTCCGTGGCGTTCACCGTCAGAATTTCCTGCAGGCTGTCCGGTCCTTCTGGAATAAGAAAATTAACACGTTACATGATCCGCTACATTGTACATCGTGCATGAAGCGATATACGCCGTAACGACTGTACCGATGTGTTCGAGTGAGCAATGAGAAAATATTTGTATCTGCGATGTTCTATATGACTGATAGAGACGAGATGTGGTATTCATTAATGAATGACATGTAGTCAAGGAGTACTCTTGCAAGATCGATTATCGAGTCGTACATTGTACGAGAGACCACTTGAGAAGGGAAGAGAGAGAGAGAGAGAGAGAGAGAGAGAGAGAGAGAGAGAGAGAGGGAGAGAGAGAAAGAGAAAGAGAGAGAGGGATCACCAGAGCGCGAGTTCAAATACTCTCCGCGTCTTCTTGTTGCAGACGCGTCCTCGACCACCGCCGGCCAGCACCGACATTATGAACGCCTTTTTTCGGACGGCGAAGGAGGAGGATAAGCCCTCTTGACATCAGGCCGAACGGAAGTATGAAATAATAACCAGTTATATAAATCGTGCCGCGGTGCCGTGGGTCCGCGGCTCGATGGCGCGTTGCGTATACAAAAATCATTTCGATGCGTTTCAGATCGCCGGATAACTCGGCATTAATGTGCCAAGCCGCGGCCTAAAGTGCAGAGGAGCCAGAGGAGGATATAGGCCGATATGCGTGTGCGCGAAAGAGAGTCCGAAATAAACCCGGAGGACATGGCCCTTCGGGGATTGCCGGGGCGAGGGTATCCTCGGAAGAGAAGAGGAGGACGAATGCGAGGAGGGAGAGAAAGAAGGAGGAAGAAAGACAGAGAGAGAGAGAGAAGGACATAGAAAAAGAAAGAAAGAGAGATACAGAGGTAGAGGTAGAGGTAGAGGTAGAGGTAGAGAGAGAGAGAGAGAGAGAGAGGGGGGGGAGAGAGAGAGAGCGAGAGAGACTGTATAATTATTGCGAAGTGCGTATGACCGCGGTCGCGGAGCGGAGCGTGCTCTCGCGCGCTACGACATCTGAACGCCGGGATGAATTCTTATTTCCCTCTTTTATTATCCTTAATCCCGAGTCGTCGTCTCCCCTGCCCCTTCTTCCCTCTCACCTTCAGCGTATCCCGGCCTCTCAAGCGACGTAATATAGTTTCGCTAATCTTCGCGTCATTGTTCGTCCTTCGTGAACTTTGAGGCGCGCAGCGGGCACCTCAAAGGAAGAGGAAAATCCATGCTGATCCGCGGGCCGATACGACCCCCTCGAGGGCGATCTTTACATCTCATTAGAATCCGCGAGATTTCACGGAAAGGCCGCGGAAGAGGGACAACAAAGTGTCTTCGATCTGCCCCGATGTTATCACCTTAATGAACATCTATAACGATCCCATTAACCCCTTCTCCCCTTCCCCTTTCCCCACCCTTCCAAACGCTTCATTAACTTTCGCCGAGACCTCTCCGCGCGCCCGATCGTATCTGCAATCTACCACCTCGCCTGTCCACCGCGGATGGAACGCCACATAGCTTTTCGCGAACATGCGGCACGAAGCGCGGGATGAGCTCTGGGAGAAGAGAGAGAGGAGAGACAGAGAGACACAGAGAGAGAGAGAGAGAGAGAGAGAGAGAGAGAGAGAGAGAGAGAGAGAGAGAGAGAGAGAGAGAGAGAGAGAGAGAGAGAGAGAGAGGAGGATGCAAATTCGCGGTCTCGTCGCCGTGGGAGCTCCCCGCTCGAACTCTTTCCACATCCACCGCCTGCCAATCCACCCTTCCCCCGGCTGCCCTACCTCCCCGCCGCCCACCCAAATGCACCATTAGGCGCGGGCCTATGTATTTTTAATAAGTTTCGAGAGTCCTCGAAGCCGGCGATCTCGGCCGGCGGTTGCAGTGAAGGCGGCTTTTCGGCTGCCTCGCAAACGGTGTCCTCGCGTTTATTTATGTGCGAGGAGTTCGCAATCCTCTCCTCAGCACTCCTCCTTCCACCCCGTCCTTGCCATTCCTTCTCATACTTCCCCCTCCCCCGCTCTTCGTTCCTCCTGTCCTGCCGATCTCGCACTCTGTTTCTTTACTCTTCTTTTTATCTTTCTTTCTTCTTCTTCTTCTTCTTCTTCTTCTTCTCCCCCTTCTTCTTCTTCTTCTTCTTCTTCTTCTGCTCCTGCTCCTTCTGACTCTCCTTCCACTACTTCTCTGATTCTTCTCTCTTTCTTCGTGCACCGTATCTTTTTCTCTCCCGCATTCGAGCAGCTAGCTTTTCATCGCGGTCTTCCTCCTCTTCTTATTCTCTTTTTCTGCCTCTTACTCTCTCTCTCTCTCTCTCTCTCTCTCTCTCTCTCTCTCTCTCTCTCTCTCTCTCTCTCTCTCTTTCTTCAACTCCCCTCCCCCCTCACACCCGCGCCGGTCTTTCTCGCGCGCTTTATCTCGGCGCGGTGTCAATTCGAGTTTGGAACACGGGCAACAGGACAACGCGTGTCTACTAAAAACCAGTTTTTAAACGCGCGTTTATTTCGCGCAGAGGGGCCCGCCTGTATCCTCCTCCTCCTCCTCCTCCTGCCTTCTTCCTCCTCGCTCTTTCCTCATTTCTTTGTGCCTCCATTGCTTCGATTTTTTCGACGGAACGCTGACACTCCAAGGCATCGTCTAGCGACAGAGTGACGGAGCTTGCGCGAAGCGACCAATAACAAATCTACGGTGCGAGCGAGACGATAAATTTCGAAGGATAAAATCGCGATCGCCGCCGCGAACTTCGTCGCGGAGCGTGAAAAATAATAGCACGTCGAATGCGCAGCATCTACGCATAATGAGCGGCAGGTACGCCCCTATCAATTCGAAATTCTGCTTTTCTCATGCGGCAACGCCACGTTCGTTCAGCTTGACAATCGGAGAGGCGTATTTATCGCGTTGGCCGCGCGTCCAGAATCCCCCCGGCCCCAGCGATTCGTGAAATTGATATCTTTACGGTATAATTCGTACAAACGTGCAACACCGTTAATGGCAACTATAAATACTTAACAACGCGCCGTCTTGGCGGCGAGCCGCGGGTGGTTCGCGTCCTTCTCGGGGGAGGAGACGCGGCAACAAAACGATCCGCGGGCGAGCGAGCGAGGACCTCATACCTCGCTGACGAGCGGGGACGCGACGCTCCCGTCCCGCGTGCGATTTCATCCCACGCTACCGCCGCGGCACGACCGCGTAATCTCGAGAACGATCGTTGCTCAATAAATCAAAGAATTATCACCTGCTCGCTGAAGCGAGCGCCGCGCGATAACCGACGCGATGATCGCGTCCGATCATCGTCAAACTTTCGATCGAATTCACCCCGCTACCTGCCTCTCGCACATGCTCAGCCCTCCCCGCGCGCGAGCGGGGGGCCATCGCGCTCCTGCCTGAGTACGTACCTGAAAGGACAGCCACGTAGGCAGCCTGCTCGAACCGCGGCGTGTTGTCGTTAAGATCGGTCACACGTACGGTCAGGTCGGTCATAGTCTCGTGGATGCCGTCGCTGGCGATCACCTGGACGGTGTACTCGGAGCGCGTCTCGGCGTCCAGACGCTGCCGCAGCACGACCTTGCCGCCGTAGCGGTCGATGCTGAAGGGTCCCGGACTCGTCAGGTTGCTGAAACGGTACGTCAGCACCGGCGAGCTGTCGACGTCGTTCGCCGTGATGGTGGTCAGCACGCTTCCCATGGGGGCGCCTGCAATATCAGAGAGAGAGAACGTCGCGGTTTAGCGATGTGCCGGCACTTGCGTGTAACAGTAACGATTCAGCAAGAATAGAAGATACTCGTATCATCATTTCTCATTATTATTCCTCATTGATCCGAATGTGGGGAATGTTACCTGCGGGGAGGAAAAAATTGTTGTCTCCAAGAGCGGAGAGCGAAGAATCGTCGTCGAATTTGATTCCCGGGAGCCAGAAATTCTGCTTCTTCCGAGAGAAGCGCACTTAGCGGTGTCACTGTGATTTTAATTGAACCGATCTTCCTCGCTCAAGCGAGCGTAAAGAAATGCGCTTAAGCGCTGGTTCGCGCGCGCGCGCGCGCGTTGCCGCGCTCGGCGAGCCGATCGAGCGCGCGGAATTCGCGAGATGCGCTCGTGGCGAAAACGAAGAAAACTGTTAGGGATCTCTCTCGAGCGCGGCGTAGGGCGACGGCTTTATCGCTCCGCTGTGCGGATCTGCGCGGCCCGCTACTGACGAATTGCATCCTCATGCATAAAGGCCCTCCCTTTGATTTCGTTCTTTTGTCCTCATCGCGAGGCCACTTTGTCACCGGGGAACGATCACGCGCGATACATACGCAACGCGAGCGTGTAGCCTTCGGGATCGGGGCGCGCTCTTCCGCGAAGTTAAAGACACTTCAAGGGGGTCGTGCTTAAAATGCATTGGATCCGTACTATCGAATCGTTTTATCTTGGCCGTGTTAAGAAGCGCCCGAACGAATCCGCCCAAAGAAACGGATGAGCTCTTCTCGTTCGCGAGGAGACGATCGGACGGAGGCGCGCGCGCGCACAGTGTGAGTAAATTACAATATCGCCGTCCGAGCATTACGCGGAGAAATTGAAAACCGTAACGCGGGGACTAATTTGCGAGCACAAAGTGCGCGTGCGCGCGCGCGCGCGCGCGCGACATGTACAGCACGGACTTGCGCGCGTCGCGCAGCGCATTACCATATGCGGCGCACGCGAGCGCATTTATCGTCGCTCGGACGCAATTTGTCCTTAAATATGAATTTACGTCTTCTCATAAGTCATCGTGATCGCCGCTCGCGATCCGGCGATCTGTCTGTCTGCAACAATGACCGTTGGAGCTCCCTACGTGCATTGTCGCGCTGCGAAGGCGAGGGCACTAGTAGAGGATCCAGTTGGTGTAACTCGAGAGAGAGAGAGAGAGAGAGAGAGAGAGAGAGAGAGACCAGACGACGATTTCGTCGGAGCGTTCAATTGCATCGAAATTTATCGAAGACAACCGAGAGCGACTGACCGGACACAAAGCTTTCTTCTCTTACGATCAAATCTCCCGCGCGATTCTTATTCCACTCCAGGCGACGAAGAATACAATTACAGCGACGACGAAGCACCCCCCTTTCCGCGGGAGAGGCGGCAGAAGAGAGCGCGATATTTCCATAAAAATGTAAAGATAATTCATCAAAGAGGGAGAGAGAAATAGAGGGGTCTCCGAATACACGCCGTGGCTCTCGACAATTCCGCAGGGGATTCCCCGGCGAGGACTCGCCCCGGCTCGGCTCGACGCGGGCTCGAGCGGCCGGCGAGAGTACGTGGTTACGAAGAGGTATATCATCAGAGACTCGACTTTGATTCCACGACCGCGGCGGGTGATATACGTCGGGCGTAGCAACACCTGCGGCAGTAAAAGAATTATTCTGTACTGGCGCGATGCACTCGTGGGGCCATGGGGGCTAGCCATGGCACGCGGCTGCGACCGCTCGTAAATTTCACGGGAGATCGTTAAAGTCGTGTAAATCGCTTTCCAGAGCGACCCCGTCTACGGGCAAACACGCGCGGCCCCGGCATGACTCTGTTATCGCTCTCCGAGCGCCCTCGCAGTTTGAGTCTCGCTGGGAAAAACGGAAGTGGTTGTAATACAAAGACCAATTAGAAATACACAAATCGAAAGGGATTCTCAGGACACGAGAAGGATGCTCATCGATGCATCACTACCGTCGAGAGCCAGGATCCGCGCTCTCGCGGATCGAGCCGAGTCGAATCGGGGCGAGCGCAGTGCGGCGACGTAATCCTCCTTGTACGGGAAATACCGACGCACGTCGGTGGTCCGCCATTGTCTCGATTTCTCGTGTCAGTGGCACTTTCGGAGCCGGTCCGATCGGCGCTGTCGATTAAATCCTCCCACAAATGTACACACGGCCGTGCGGAAGGAAGGGCCCTACGGGAGCACCGAGGCAAGGCCCATCCAACATCGGCGAGCCGCGCCTCCCGGTTTCGACGATAATTACATCCTTTATTCCTACCGGGGTAATTACAAACGTTTACCGTAGGACGAGCGAAGCTCGGGCGGCGGCCGTTAAACGCCGTGCGAGAGCTCTCGCGCGCGCGCGCGCGCGCGCGGATTATAAACATAATCGATATCGCCGTCGCGGAAGGACGTGAAGGGCCCGTCACGGGCCCCTAACGAGAACATAGACCACTTCTGTTAAACCACTCTGCGCCGCGTTGTGCTATCAATTAGCAATTTATAAGCATAAATCACTGTTACGGAGGAACGGAGCAGGCGGCGATTACCGTAAAGACGCGGTCAAGAGAGCTTGTGAGCAGCTTGGGCGATGTTAGGAGGACGAGAAGAGCAGACTCGTTATCCCGTCACGTCTCGCGTTACGACCGCGCCGATGATTCATATTTCTATCAAATCCGCTTTGAATGCGCCGAGAGCTGCATTAGCCGCCAACGTAGCCGTTGCTACGTTGTCCGAAGAGATATTTCGCCTCATTGATCGCGAGATATTGAAGAAGTGTTGTGATACGCGCGCGTCCCCAGAGGGCTCATCAACCGGCCGACGTGCGGCGTTTTTAATCGCGCTTCTACGGGCACGTCGGAATGACATTTCCCCGATGCGACGCTCGCCGAAGCTCGTCGAGAGGCCGAGAGGACACCGCGACGAGCTACTTCTTAGGCAGAGGGTTAAATAAATTTCGCCGGTCGGCCGCTGCGCGGCATCGCGCATCACATTGCGAACGAATTGCGCCGTGGCCGGAGACTTTTACGGCGATACAAATTAGATGGTAATTTCGCATTACGCCATTGGCGAGCGAGTACGTGCCTACGTACGTATCTTCGTGTCGAGCGTTCTCGGAAGAACAAGAAGAAGAAAGATGCAACGGTGGCAGTCGCAGCAGCAACTACGGCAACAGCAGTAGCGGTAGCAATGGTAGGTAGAGAACGGAGTGGGGGTGGAGGGGGTAGGCAAAGAAAGGGACGAGACAAAAACGCGAGCGTAATAAAGGGACAGAGGAGAAAGGGAGAGAAAGAGAGAGAGAGAGAGAGAGAGAGAGAGAGAGAGAGAGAGAGAGAGAGAGGGAGAGAGAGAGAGAGAGAGAGAGGGGGGAGAGAGAGAGAGAGAGAGTCTCCTATTATATCCCTCACGTTCCCCGAACGATTGCTAGAACGTGCGTGACTCGCCACCTGTTTGCTATTGGGAATTCCATTCGACAGGAAGAAGCGAGGCTGCGAGAAGAAAACGGCCCGTTCGAGGTATCATCGAAACCGCACGGTCTTCGTTATTCGATGATGCGGTTGAACTTACTCGATCACCGTCCCTCTTTCGTCGCGTCATCTTCGCTGACTAGCTGCCCACCGATGGCGATCGAAAGGGACTCGCGGGACTCTGGGCCTTCTTTTTCTGCGCCTCGAGAGATGGTAGCGCGAGGTTGGCGCTTGTACGTCAAACTCGCGGCCACCTCGGTCCCCCGCGCCGGTTCCATTGAATCGTATCTGTCAATGGGGAACAATATGGTGGCGAGAAAGGCCGGAGGAAGAGGGCCCATGTGTCGGGGCTCCGAGAAGTGGAAGAGAGAGGGAGAGGGAAGGAGAGAGGACAGAGAGAGGAAGAGAGAGAGAGAGAGAGAGAGAAAGAGAGAGAGAGAGAGAACAGTCCGAGCCACCGAACGCGCGCCTCGGCAGCCTCGCCTAAGTTATGCAGATTGTTCCGAACAGTTGGACTTTAATGCCGGCATAAATCCTTTGCCACTTAACTTTATACTTGGAGAGTAGAATGCGTTCCCGCCCTCTCAGCGTGCTCGTGCCTCTCTTCCACTGCCTACTCTTGCTTACGCGTTCTTCATCGATTCCTCTTCTCGCGCCACCGTTTATCCGTATTCCTCTTAGCGAGAAGGAGAGAGAGGGAAAGAGAGAGACGAGCAAGAAGAGAACGAGCGAGAAAGAAAGAGAGAGAAATGCTCTACTATATATTATTCTAAATATACCTTCTGCATCGTGTACAAAAATTTTATTATAAATACGAGTGTTATATTCGTCTTTTGTCGAAAGGGCCAATGCAACCTTTCGACTCGCGTGTGCTTTTGCATACAGAATGGAATCTCTATACTTTTCATGTGTTTAATTAATTTATTTTTTTTAAATAGAATTCTCTCTCTCTCTCTCTCTCTCTCTCTCTCTCTCTCTCCGGGACTCCTTCCGTATAGTTGCACGAGAGCTCGCCCGACGCATTGCGACGCGTAGCTGCGCCACGGCTTTTTCTGCCGCCGCACGTGGATGACCTTGGTAAGAGTGAACCCGTCATAAAGCCCGTTGAATTTCGAGGGAGAGATTCGCGAGCCGACGGCCAGGATGAAACTCGAGCTATCGTCATCGCGGATGAAACCCGAGAGCCAGTATTGCCGACAGGATTATCATAGATACCGCGTGATGCTACTGTCGCCGACAGCGCGAGTGTCCTAACGAGCTCCTAGCCATTCCACATTGTAATACAATGTGGCCGCGCGGCTCCGATAGCGGATAAAGCTGTAGCAGATGAGCAATTCATGTTACCGTAAAGTCGGGGTAGTCAGCGATCGTAACGTCATTCCGCGATGACCCGGCTGCAAAAGAGGATCTTGAATGCTCGCCGATACTCGCCTGATACTCGATATTGCCGTCGATACCGAGTATCTTAAGCAGCTACTCGTTACTCGTGAGATCGTGCAGCGGAACTCGATAACGAGAGAGGAATATAAAGGATAGGCGCTGAACGATCGAGTGAAAGTAATTCGATATCGTAACATTATCTTCGGCAACTTAATAAACGCAAAGTTGACGTAACCCTCAAGTGGAAGAGCAATCGAATATTCGTCATCTGTATTGGATTTAATGAATTTGCGTCACGGCTGAGTATGTTTCGTTTGAAATATGACTGAGACATTATTTCACTGAATTGTCCGCATACATCTTGCAGCTTTTCCCTTCACAGTCCGCCGCTCTGGACATTTGATTTTCCCGCTGGCTATATCGCGGCGCAAGCGTACGACCGACTGTGCCTTTTAAGACCTGAAAGAACCGAACACGTGACGGAAAGGTCTTCCATTTTGACGACGCGGCACCTGTCCAATGCTCGAGTCGTGGCTCCAACTGCACTTTATTTTCCGACGAATACTCCAAAGGGTCGACTAATTATAAGTACGAGAACGAAGAATCATTCACGCAACATTAAACTAAACGTTGGCAAGTGAATTAATGGCAATCAACAATTTTGTATTGTTTAAGCATTAAGTACGATACGGGAGTATAACTTGAACACCGTCTACACCGAAATCAATGAGACAACAGTGGCGTCGTGGCGTTGTGTGCTTTTGGCGGGAAAGCACTGTCTGTGTGCGTATGTAGCCAGCATGCTGGTTACCGCAGTGTGTTGACATTGGTCGCACCTACAAGATACGTTGCTCGAGGAGTTTTTGTAACGAATAATATAACAGTGAATATAAGAAGCGACGCGACGAAAAAATTATCCACACTTAATCGGTACATCGACATCAGGTGGACCTGGTCATCGCACTTGGTCAAAATAACTGTCATAGGTGCGCTATTCGATTTGGGATATTCAGATTCTTCATTGTTTATTCTTTATTTATTCTTGAGCGAGCGCATCAAGTGAACGAATAATTGCTACAAAAGTGTAGCTTCATTATGTGATCAAAGTATAACCTGGAATGTTCAATTGATTGCAATCTCTGGAGAATACAACTTGAGACTGTCAGTTTTGTTGAAATAATGAAGTTTTGTGGCGAAGTAAAATTCGAATTAAATATCTTGTGCAGCTAGCTTAACATAAGAGCAATGCATTGTTTTAGGAAGGACTTGGCGCACCTGCACTGAAAAAATGGCTTCGCTGCAGAAACTCTACAAAAATCCATTTACGATCTGCATTGAAGGCAACATTGGAAGTGGCAAAACAACGTTTCTTCAGCAGTTTCAGAAATTTAAGAGTGCCACGATTCTTCCAGAACCTGTACACTTATGGTGCGACTTGGAGGGAGTCAATTTATTGGTGAGATTCTATTGTTTATAGATATATCATGGATGCTTGTAGTTGATGCATATCTAGACCCTAAATAATCCAATATAATTAAAGAATGATATTTTTGTGCGTGTTTATTGTTGTATCAGTCAATCCCCTAATTAAATTATTGACTTGTATCAACCAACTCTAATCCATAATAATTAGTCATAAAGATCATTAACGCTCATGCTGGCGGATAAATTAAAAAAATACAAATTGCAAGATTCAACTGACTGTGACGATACTTTCAGGATCTTCTGTACAAGGAACCGAAAAGGTACTCATTCTTGTTTCAATCTTATGCTCAAGTAACGAGGTTAGAGTTACATACCATGCCAACGCCAACGCCTTACAAGGTAATGGAAAGATCAGTATTTAGTACAAAGTGCTTCTTAGAGAATATGAAACGTACAAATATAATATCCAATGTGGAAGCTGCAGTTTCAGAAAACTGGTACAATTGGAGCATAAGAAATGCTAATATTAAAACAGACTTGATAGGTAAATATATGAAATATTTCATTATGTGATTTAACAAGAAGGATTCTTAAGCGATTGTTATAATCAGCAGTATGTCATATAACGATTTCATTTGATTGCTTCATAAGAATCTAAATTGTCTATTTGAAAACACTCAGATGAATTTTTAAAGATACTGTCACGTTGTATCAGTCTGTTGAATCATTTCAAAAGATTTCAATACATAACTTATACCTTTTTTCTCTGATATATTTTTATTACATTTTGCTTTGCAATATAGTGTATCTAAGGACAACGCCAGAAGTCGTGTACCAAAGAATGCAAGCACGCGCACGGAAAGAAGAGGAATCCGTGCCGTTAGAGTATTTGAGACAGATCCACGAGATTCACGAGGACTGGCTGTACAGACAAACCTTATTCTCTTTACCGGCGCCAGTCATGATCTTAGACGGTGACAAGAGTCTCGAAGAAATGGTGCCGCAATTTGAGAAATGCAAAGATTGGATACTTAAAGGAAAGATTGATAGCATACCAGACACCAGAATAGTCACTCAATAAAGACGATGTAAATAGATAAGAAAAAAGACATAATGGTTAGGATCAAAATTGTTTTACGTTTTACCGTGTTGAAACTAATATTAAAGTAAATTTATGACTCACCCTCTGAGACTGAGATGGCATTGTGTTCCGGGAAAGTTGGCTGATTGTCGTTGATGTCGATCACTCGTATGCTCAATGCAGTCGTACCGGTTAATTGAGGGTTTCCTTGATCAGTCGCGATGATGGTCAGCCTGTATTTTTCGCGAATCTCACGATCGAGGACTATATTAGTCTGTACGATTCCGCTATATGGCGGGTTTATAGTAAAGGCATTGTCCGGATTGCCATCCACTATATGATACAGGATCCGGCTGTTCATCCCTTGATCAGCGTCACTTGCTGAAAGCTGCAACAGAGAATATAGGTGATACAGTTGTGTATCCGGTACACTTTTTATAGATTATTGTAATTATTTATTTTTATACCTACACTTTAACGTTAGATAAAAATAGACTTTTATATATTCTGCTTGTCTGACTGTAACATTCTTTTTCTTACATTCTCACGGTCTCACTTTCTCCCTTTCTCTAATTTTGCAACGAGTTACCTTTTTTCACAAAGTTAATAGATTAATTGGGAGTTTTGAGGCTGATTTGAGAAATTATTTGTGCCTTTTATCGACATTGAAAATCTCAACACGAGAATACTAATCGCGAAACGTTGCCGCGTTCGATGCTATAAACAGAAGCGCGACGTGGCGTTGGCGAGTTCGTAAGATTCCCTTACCTTGACAACGAAGTCTCCCTTGGCATTTCCCTCGAGCACAGTGGCCGAGTATTGCGTTTGCGTGAAGATCGGCGGGTTATCGTTGACATCGGACACCCTGACGATCACCTTGACGTACGCCTCGAGGACATCCGGGCCCACCGTTCTAGCCACCACGTTGAGAGTGTGCCTCGAGCTCTCCCTGGGCTCCTCCTTCGGCTGCTGGCCTTGCAAAGATCTGCCCCACGAGTTACTCGTGCGTCCCGTGTCGGCCGGCAGCTCGTTGCAGGGATTCACCGTTAAATCGTTCCAGAGTTCCGCGTCCAGTCTAGTGGGTTCGTTTACGCGCAGCAGGCCGGTATCTTCGTTGATCGCGAAGGTACCGAAGTTGTTTCCCGACGCGATCGAGTATGAGACTTGCTGCCTCCTACCGTCGGTGCGTACCGCGATGATCTGGACGATCTCCGTTCCAACCGCTGCGTTCTCCTGAACGATGACGTTGTACGTGTCGTTCTGGAACTTGAGGGTCGGTGCCAGATCCGACAAGCGGTCGCCGATATGCAGCTCGATCAGACCTTTGGCAGTCTGCGGCGGGTTCCCTTTGTCTCTGGCCAACACCTCCAGGTGGTAGACCTTGCCGTTGTCCTGCGATAACGACAGAGTCGCCGTTATCATGCCGGTAGTAGGGTGGATCCGAAACTTCGGTTTTTCCACCTCGTGCAAGAACGAGTACAGGACCTCCCCGTTGGCACCCTCGTCGGCGTCGTGGGCCGAGACCCGCAGGATGTTCTGGCCCGGCAGCGTGGCGGTGGACACGTCCATACGAAAGGGATACTTCGTGAACACTGGCGCGTTATCGTTCACGTCGCTGATGTTAATCTCAACGGGTATCGAGGTGTTCTTCGCGTCGTACTTGCCGCTATCCATGGCGACCACGAGGAAGGTGTAGCTGCTTTGCCGTTCGCGGTCCAGTGAACTATATCGAACAAGAAGAGACGAGGGTTACTTGCTGCAAGCTGACTATTGAGACGCGCATCTGAGAAAAAGATATTGCAAAAGAGAAATGGATCGCCCTTCTTAGAATTTCCTCCTAAGATCGCTCGTCTCCGGCACGGTTAGGTCAGCATCGCAATTCTTCGATCACGGACACACGATAAGAGCAACAATTATATTTATAGAACGCCCAACGAACGATTCGAGCGGCGAAAATCGCGGGGAATACCCGAAGACCATCGACGTTCACCGGGTTGGAAATCGCGGAGATTAAAACAATATTGTTACAAAGTTACGTAAACGTAAAGAAGAAAAGTTCCCCGCAGAGCGGAGCGCCTTCGTGATACGGCATGACTCTCGCAATAACTCTTAATAAGCGTGGGATAATGATCGAACGCCGGTAGTGCACGGTAGAGTCCGATACGCTGATTTGCGATTGCGCGATTGCCCGATTCGAGCCGTTCCGCGGTTATCTTTTGCCGCAAATTTGCTGCTGACTGCGGATTAGAGTTCGCTCTCGAGTCTCCTTGCGTGTCGCGTCTCAGCAGAAAAATCGATTGTGTCGCAACAAGCGCCTCGACGAAAAACCGCGCGTCTCCTGAAGAAATGAAGAGATTTCTCTCGCCAGTCGTCGACTGTGTGAACAGACGAGTGAAATGTATATGTGGGGCTTTTGTATGAAGCAAATATAGCTGCGTCGTACTATGTGAAGGACCAAGTCCGCCGATGAGAATGATTCGCACTCCAATTATCTCTACGAGATCGGCGTTGACACGTCATCCCCGGGTACCATCTCGACGTCCTTGCCACCGGTTCGCGCTATTTATCGAGTCGTTCTAACGAGAACTGGTCCTCGTTTGACCCGCGTGCTGTATCTACCGGGTGGTCCAGCAGTGAAAGAGGGAAAAATGTTCCGTATACCTCTCCGCCGTGCCGGGATGCCGCGGCTGGCTCCCAAAGGTAACAGAGACGACCGTTGCAGTGAGAGCAACAGCAACAACGCGACACGAAAGCCGGGTCCGCGGCTACCGATCGAAGGAGGAAGATACCAAAAACAGAGGGAGCAAGGAAGAAGGAGAGCAAGAGGAACGATCACATGCGTCGTAGCGAGCGAGGGAGAGACAGAGAGAGAGAGCGAGAGAGAGAGAGAGAGAGAGAGAGAGGAGAGAGAGAGAGAGAGAGAGAGCGAGAGAGAGAGAGAGAGAGAGAGAGAGAGAGAGAGAGAGAGAGAGAGAGAGAGAGAGAGAGAGAGAGAGAGAGAGAGAGAGAGAGAGAGAGAGAGAGAGAGAGAGAGAGAGAGAGAGAGAGAGAGAGAGAGAGGAGAGAAGGCGGGAGAAAGACACGCGCGGCGAAAGAGCGGCCGGAGCGAGATCTGGTTTTGCATATCAGGCATTTTGCCGGCTGAAATAATGCATTGAAATGCCACATGGCGTCTCGCTGAAATGACACACGGCTGTCGCGGCGCTAAAGTATGCGCCTCTGCACTCCTTCTCACGACTACCGACACTCTCCGCCACCTCTCCGTGCAGCAGCGGAGGGCTCCTCGGCCCTTCGCACGACTCGGCGGCCCACCTTTCTGCGTTCGTACGTTATAAACGCGACGCGACGGCGTCTCGGCGGACGAGAGCAGAAGTGACAAAGGTCGGAGGCAGCGGCATGGCAAAAAAGCGCGAGTAAACAGTCACGATCGGGCGAAGTACGGCCGCAGTCGTGAAGCAAGATTGGTAGCGAGATCTAATTGCGGCGGGGATTAAAGCGCGAATCGCGCGAATCAACCGCGAAGGATGCGCTGGGCGGTGCGTCGATCGTGCGGGTTTATACGGCGACCCCGTCGCGGCAGATGAATGCGACTGGACAAATTATATATTCCCGTGGCGTGGAAGTGATTTATCGAAATAACGCTGTCACGTCGCGTCGCGCGAGAACACGCCGGGCGGCGACGAGGACGATGACGATGATGAAGACGACGATACGGGAAGGCGAGTGTCTCTAGTCGCCGCGGTGATGCCGCATCCGTATAACGATCCCGCTCGTAAAGCTTAATGTTTCATATATAAGGGCTCGAAATTGAATTCGATTCCGTCGAGTTCGCGCTCGCACGCTCACTCTCGCGCGCAATTAGCGTTCGGCTTTTCCTGCGCTTGTGGTGCACCGGCCAAGACCGTATCGAGCGGTTAACGATCAGCGGTTGCGCGCGCTCCGCTGGGATCAAGGTTCGCGGCAGCCTGCAGCGAAACTGTCCATTAATTAACGAACCACAACCTTGCTGTTTGGAGGGATGGACGGAAGCCACGCGGAAAGTCTTCGCCTTAACGACGTCCCGAGATATCAGTTTATTGCGCACGTAATCATAAGAGACACACACAGGCCGAGAGGGACGAACGGACGAAGAGACACGGAGAGGAGCGAAAGAGCGACGAACGAAAGAGAGGAAGAGAAAGAGAGGAAGAGAAAGAGAGGAAGAGAAAGAGAGAAAGAGAAAGAGAGAAAGAGAGAGAGAGAGAGAGAGAGAGAGAGAAAGAAAGAGACGGAGAAAAGGGATGGAGGAGTATCGCGGGTTGTGCCGACGGGTTATGCATACGGAATCGTTTAATCGGCCATAGTGCGTCGTTCGTGAAGCGCATCGACTGACTTTATAATTTTACGACGTTCCTAGTCCGTCGACGAAGCTCCTTCCTCCCTCGCCGCCCTCGAGCGTCGAGTATCTTTTTTTTTTACGATGCGAACGAGTCACCGTGCCCTCCCATACGTGCGTGTCTCTACTTCCCGCTTTACGACGTTATACTACCGGCGTAATATCCCCCTGGGTGATCCTAATCGGATGTGCAATAAAGGTCGCGGTAATTAACGCCAGGATGAAATTAGTCGGCTGCTAGCCGAGATCGCGAAGCGAGACTCGCATGCGATAGAAGAGCGAGCGAGCGAGCGAGAGAGAGAGAGGGGGGGGAGGGGGAGAGAGAGAGAGAAAGAGGAAATCGGGACAAGAGAGGAGGTCAGGGAGAGGAGGAAGCGATAGAGCGATAGAAAGAGGAGGTAAAAGAGGAAACGCATATAAGAAAAAAGAAGAAGAGGCAAGCGACAGAACGTGCACTCACCCGGCGGTAGTGATGACACCGGTCAGGTTATCGACCCTGAAGAGCCAGCTCGTCTCCTCGGCGATGGCGTACGTGATCTTCCCGTTTTCACCTTGGTCTGGATCCGTCGCCCTCACGGTCATCACGCTCGAGTCCGGCGCAACGTCCTCCGAAATGGTTGTCACGTACTTGGCGAGATGGTAGTTGGCTGGATAGTTGGACGATTGGAAACCACCGTTCGACAGACCGTACTCCAAGCTCTGCGAGTTGCCGCGCGAGTGAGACTCGGCGTATTGATCCTGCAGGAAGGTCGGCGCGTTGTCGTTGACGTCCAAAACGATCACGGTGAGATTGCAGTGCGCTTCTAGACTGGGTCTTCCTTTGTCCTTGGCGGAAATTGTCAGGACGTACTTGGATATAGTCTCGCGGTCCAGACTGAACATCGACAACATGCCGCTCGATGGCTCCAACGTGAACTTGGAGCCGATGTTACCACCTGGAATCGACAGCCAGAAATATCAGATATAAATACCACGAAGATTTGTGAAGGAAAATCTTCTCACAAATCACCTCGAATTTTTTTTCCACATAATTGTGTGAAATAGACGAAGATTGCTCGAACTGATGCGACAATGAAGGAACCGAACGCGTTTTATCAAAAGAAGACAGCATTTCTGCCTATTACGAATTAAATTCAGTTCCAAGAGCGAGAAATTCTATCCAGTCGCACACTCTCTATAACTGCACTCGACGGCTGACTCACCTATGATACTGTAAGAGATCTCCCCGTTGTTGCCCTCGTCAAGATCGCTCGCGGCCACGGTGTGAATCCCGAAGATCTCCTGATTTTCCGGCACAGCGAGAGTGTAGCAGGAATTCGGTCGGAATTCCGGACTGTTGTCGTTCTCATCTATCACGATTACTTCCAGGGTGGTGATGTCCAGCAGCTTGCTCGACCTCGCTAAGATCGAAACGGAGTAACGCGCGACTTTCTCACGATCCAGGGAGCCTCGTAGAGTGACTAGACCGCTAGGAGCTATTGCGAACTTGTTCGAGGCTATGTCGGCTGGTATGGTGAAGGTGACGTTCCCTGCGCAACGGAATAAAGCAAATTCATCCTGCACGCTATATAACTCCGTGCAACTTTTACAGAGTTGCTCCTCTGCTTCTTTCTCTCGGCCATCGTCAGCCGTTCCACGTCGATTATCATTCCCGTCGACTTGCAGTGCTCTTTGCGCAGCCAAAAAATCTATATTCATCCCATACACGTACCTCTCTAAATACACGCGGCCGAGGTAAATAAAATAAGAACATTCTTTCATCAATTTTCTATCTCGCGCGCAAAACACAAGATCGTCTCCAGTGTCGATCATTTCACTCCAGCCTCGATTACATCCCCCCGCGCGTCCCCGCCGGCCGAGCGCGTATATCATATTTCGCGCGGCGGCGCCGCGCGATCCGGTGACTTGAATGCCCGACCAGAGCGCGGTGACTTCAATGCCCGGCCGGAGCCGGGCTGGTAAGCCATTTAATGCATTCGATTCTCGAATTCCAGCGCTTAGCGCCCGTGCTCGCCGGATTTTTAGCGGGCTTAGAGCACAAAGCGACTCGCGACTCGGGTTTAGCGTACGCGCGCGCGCGCGCGCGTTGCTCACGGAACGTCCGCACATGTGCGTAGCGCCGCGACCACCTTCCGTCGTGTTTCAAGCGAGCAGTCCCGGCGACACCGCGTGTGTACACACGCGTGCACACGCGGCGTGCACACGGTGGTGTGTATGACGCGGCGTCGGTGTTGGTGGAGGCGGTGATTTGCCTATGCGTACCGCGGCAGGCCGCCGCGCCGGCACGATGATATACGCGGCCATTGTTTCGCCTCGTCCTCTCTGATGCTCCCTGCCCCTCGCCCTCAGCCGCTTGTACACTTTGCGCGAGCTCTCCTGTGCGCGCGCGCGCACAGCTCGTCCCTCGGGATCCCAGAAGACGCGGTAGTCTCCCCTTTGGCGCACCCGGCGCGCTAATGCGCTCGTCTGATACACGGGCGACGCGATAGATAAGCGCAAAACCAGAGATACATCGTGTTGTCGGCTTCGGCGGCTAGTTTACCGCGACTACCGCGCGGCTTAACTGTTCGTCAGCCGGCTCGGAGCGATCGGATCGCCGCGCCGCGCCGCGCCGCGCCGCGCCGCGCCGCGTTGGGCCGGCAGGTATGCGGATCTTCGGCGCGAGGAGAAATGATGCGCGAAATGTATATATACGCGACTTTCACGCGCGCGCGCGTTCATGAAGGTAGTACGCACACATTCAGGCACGTAAACACGTTGAGGAATCCCGTGCGCACTCGGGACGTGCTCTCACACTTCGGGCGGCGATTGACTTCTCGCTTATCGCGAGCCGACCGATTGCCCGGCGCGATGAAAAATCTCGTCGGGCGTCGGTATAAATACGCGAGCGACATGATCACGTCGTCCGATCAATATCCCCGGAACGAGCGACTCATATTTATGCACGCCTGCGTTGCGTGTTTCTCGCCGTCGAGAGGGACTCCTCTCTCTTTCTCTCTCACGTCTCTCGCTCGTTCCCTCGAAACGGCCGCGCGGCGAAAAGCTTTTCCTCGCGAGTTCGCTATAAATTGCACGCGACGCGACTCCTACGGACACTCGCCAAACTCCCGCGACGATAATTAGCGACGTTGCGAGAGGAACCTCGCGCGATGGAGAAGAGATTTGAAGAGCGCGAGCGATCTTCGCCGTAAATAAGGCGCGAATGAGCTCGCGCTCTCGGAGGCTTGTTATCGCGTTTTCCGCGAGCGAAACGGCGCCGGATGACCCGGGATGACGCGTTTCGGCGAGATCCGCGACGTCGGAATTTTCTCGGCTGCCGCGACCTCGGTTCTTCGACTTTTTAAGGCGAGACTGAGAAGGCGCGTACGTGCGAGAGGAGAGGAGAAGAGAGGAGACGAGAGAGACGAACGGGGCTCCGCCGCAGCGGGGTATTCCGTGTCGGGGCCTTACACACGGATGGAACGCGTTGCCGACGACCCCGAGAGAGGCAGAGAGAGAGAGAGAGAGAGAGAGAGAGGGGGGGGAGGGGGAGAGGAGGGGGAGAGCCCGAGCCGAGCCGCGCGAGTCATTTCGCTGAATTTACTATAATGCTCGGTACCGGCCGGATTCAAGGCAATTATTCGAGGTATTTTCGTAGCAGGGCTTTCCTATTAGCCGCGGCGAGAGTATCCGCCGCGGTCCGGCCTCGCGATTATGTTCGCCCTCGCGCGCGCGCGCGCGCGCACAGTTTGCGTGTGATGTGTAGGTGGTGGTGGTGTGTACTCTCCGACGCGTACTATCCACACCACTGAGAAGAACGGGCACGGGAAGAGAGAGAGAAAGAGAGAGAGAGAGAGAGAGAGAGAGAGAGAGGGGGGGGTGGGAGGGAGGGTGGGAGGGAGGAGGTCGAAATATCGCGAGCGTCAGGAGGGAGCGCGAGGGAGATAGTCGAGGAGAGGGACGAGAGATAGCGGATTGTAATTTCAGCGGCGCGCGCCCTACAACGCCGCTAAATTGACAGCCCCTTCTGCACCGCCGGGGACTTTATGTGCGCGCGCGCACCGCCGAAACAATAAGGACGCGTCCGGAGTACCTAAAAGGAGCCTCCGTTTTTGGTCCTCCCGCGCGTTCTTGTTACACGCCTCGGCATCGATAAGTTTCGGCCGTGTTGCTCGCTTTGCCGACGTGGCGCGGCATTATACGCCGCGAACACGCGTTCACGTCGCTTCATTCGAGCGAGCCGTAAATCGGGAAACCTGCGCGATCCGCACCCGGCGGCAGCGACTTCTGCCTGTCTCTGCGGCCGAGCGGACGATTACGGTCGCGCGTGAGATAAAAGCTCGACGAGTCTCGTTAATTCGCCTGAGACGTGGAACGGTGGGAACTCGCGGGGCGACCGCATGAAGCGGAAGGAAGCGAGAGAGGGAGTCTCCTCTTTCTTTCTTACCTTGATCGGCGACCGCTGGTCCCGCTACGTTCAGCACCACCGCTCCGACCTTCAGATTTTCCGAGATCCTGATGACAGGGTTGGGCAGTAGCAGCCGGGGCGGCCCGCTTACACGCGTCGTCGACGGGGTCAGGCTTAGCTTCAACACGGTCTTGCGAGGTGGCGATCCGTGGTCGCTGGCGGTGATCTCGAGATCCATGGGCCTCGCGATGGGCTTCTCCAGGCTCACGATTCCCGACTCGTAGCCCACGGAGAATCGCCCTTCCTCGTTGCCCGAGCTGATCACGTACGACACTTGACCGTTGTCGCCCGAGTCCTTGTCCACGGCGACGACTCTCACCAGACTGGCACCTGAGGGCACGACGATGAAGGATTACGAGGATTACGAGCGACTGTCGTTCGCACGCGTACGACTTCGTCGCGCGATTCATTCGCAAACGCGACACTCACCAGGTTGAAGGTTCGACGCGACGGCTATCTTGGTGGATTCTGGAGCAACGAAGACGGGATCGTTGTCGTTCTGATCGAGCACGATGATCCTCGCGGTCACCGTGGAAGCCAATTGCTCGCCCGGTGGCGCCCGATCCGACGCCTTCAGGATCAAGGTGTACTCCGCTCTTTCCTCCCTGTCGAGTGACTTGGCTAATGTCAAGGCGCCCGTCAGGGAGTCCACGGCGAAGCTGCACGTCGACGGGAACTCAGCCACGAGGCCGTATCGCAGTTCGCCATTCAAACCGCTGTCCAGGTCGCTGGCCGTAAGGTTGTAGATGGTCGACCCAATCGCCGCTCTTTCGGACACGCGAACGGTTATCGGATCCTGCGGCCATCTCGGCGGATTGTCGTTCGCGTCCTCGATTATGATTTTCACGGAGACGGCGATGCTCTGAGGATTCCCGATCGAGGTCGTGTCCAACGCACGGATCTCCAGGTGGTATTCGCTCACGTTCTCGCGGTCGAGGGAATGCGCGACCACCAGCTGACCTGAGCTACGGTCGACGTCGAAAGCTGGAAACTCGCTGATCGGCGTCAACGAGTCCAAGGTGAAGGCCACGCGACCTGCGGGACCCGCCCCCGACACTGAGCCCACCGCGTGCCCGATACTCGCATCTTCGCGTACCTAAATGCGCGTGAGAAGCGTATTGTTTATTCTTCTTCATTAGAAACCCACTTTATCCCGTGTGCGTTAAAGCATCACGGTTATTAAGTAATAATTGAGCAATATTCACGCACTAGAACCGGCAAGTGATAAAAAATGGCCAGTTTGTAATTTCTTGCAAAAATTACTCAATTTTAAACAACGATATATTTTACTGCTTACCGGAACAAAACTACGAGAAATAAATAAACATTGTTCGTCGGTAGTTCTACCCGGTGTTGGTCATCAATTTCTCGAGAATGTGCATTTTTCTTAACCAACGCGAGGGAAACGCGGACGTTTGAAATATCAACATCGTTTGAAAATCGATGACGAACGAGATTTCAATCCCCCGTGAAATTTGCAGCTCGGTCCTGCCGGACACCTGCAGGAAACGCGCGCGAAGGCGACGACAGCACGCCTTCGCGCGGCCAACGGATGTCGGGCGCGATCGCGTGAATATCGCAAAATGTAACATGTCGCGAGTGAATGATTGCGCGAGAGGGTAAGGTGGAGCGCGCCGATGGCGCCCAGCGCAGCCGGAGACGAATCGACGCGTAAATGAATCCTACCGGTTGGCGGGGTTAACGATACTCACGTTAAAGGTAAGACTGCTGCTGGTGAAGGTCGGCCGGTTGTCCGCGAGCGCCAAGACTTCGACCCGAAACGCGCGAACGCTGTGTCGCGGCGGATGTCCGGCGTCGGTCGCCTTTACGGACACCCGATACACGTTGCGTTCCTCGTGGTCGAGCACGGCCTTGGTCCTGATCATACCGGTGATCGGGTCGATGGTGAAGACATTGTAGCCGTCCGAGTCTCGGTCTGGAGGGAAAAGACGGAATCAAGTGACCGATCGAAAGTGCCCGCCGACGAGTCGAACGGACGAATTCAGCGGCGCGCGGACGATCTCGTTGTTGCGAGACTCGTTCCGTCGCGGAAAAATCACTCGCGCGCGCGCGCGCGCACGGTATTCGTGCCGTTGACCCTGAAGAAGGAGAAACGTGTATGCGCGAAATAGGCGCCGCGATACCGCGAAATGAAAAGCCTGACATGAACGGAGAGAGAGGTACATCGCAAACTCCCCGACGCTGTAACAGTACTCGCGGGCGCGAGCGCGAGAGCACGAGAGCGAGCGATGTTCAGATTTAATCTCGCGCGCTCAAGACATTTTTCGCCGTCTCGCGCCCGCCTGCGTCCCTACACGCGATTGGGAAAATCCGACGTAAGGGCGATCGTAAGCGCGCGCGCGCGCTCGCCCTAATGAAACGCTCGCGCATTTACGTTCGCCATAGGCGGTGCGTCGTCCCCGGCAAAAACGCGCACGCGGCCGCTTTTAAGACCGTGCATAATTGTTTCAGTAATTGCCGCGGGGCTATTAAGGCCCCTCTCGAAAAGCCCTTCCTCGCTCTTTCACGAGGCCCGAGGGAGCCTCGGCGAGAAAAAAGCCCGCTTCGTCGTCTAATCCCCGGGGCGTAAGTAGTTTCGCGCGCTATTTCTCTATTATTCCCGTCTCTCAGCAAGCGCCGTAACGAAGCCGCGCGAGCGCAAGTGGAAGCGCTGCGCGTGTATAACTAATTATAATTTATATATTTTCTTGCTCGGATCCTATCTACACACACGGACACATAATCATATCTGAGGCGAAGGCGCGAGTCGCTTCGTTGGTCGAGCGGCGCGTAACCGATTAGTCACGTGCGAGCAACTAATCGCAACGAGAGCCGGGCGTGCTCCGTGAACAAAAGAAGATCGAATCGCCGTTGCGCAACAACTCTGAAAAATACAACGTTCCTATCAGAATTTCAATGCCGCTTCGGATAGTCTCCGCTCCGTTCGATTTTTCGGATAGACAATAAATGCAGATTCAAAATTCGAAACAGCGAAAAAATAACCCGCGCCACTCGATTATTCGTCTGGCTCGATTGGCTCATTGGAGAGGACTGAACGAAGATAACGCGTCACAGGGCAAGGTACATCTTGCCTTCAATTATACATTGTATTTTTTATACCTTCGTATCTTTCATACTTTTATATATTGTTTTTATATTCTTTACACCTTGAATGACAAGTCTACAAGTGCGGAGCTTTCAGACCGAAACGAACACTTGAGGACTGAAATTCCTACCTTTCAGGATGCTGTAGGTCACCGAGGCGTTTTCACCGAAATCCGTGTCCAGCGCCCGCACCCTGGCGACCTCCGTGCCGGGCGGTTGCTCCTCCCTGACGCTGACAACATCCCTCTGAGGATCGACGATCTCGGGCGAGTTGTCGTTGACGTCCAACACGGTGACCTTCATAGGCACTCTAGTCGCCCTGGACGGTGTTCCCTGATCGCGCGCCTCCAGCACCAGCTCGTGCACCTCCTTGGTCTCGCGATCGAGCGGCTCGCGCGTGGTGATCTTGCCTAGAGAGTCGTCGAGAGCGAAGGCAAAGAGAGGGACAATTAATTTTCATTGCGCTTCGACGCTGCCGCGCTGCGGCGGGCATAGCGAATTATTAACGATCTATTAGCAATTGCCCGCGGCTCTCGGCCGCGTCTATTAGCGGACGCCGCGGGGATATTTACGAGCGCGCGACAAAAAGCGCCGTGCTAGCCCGTCTCGATATTAGAGAACGCTTGAAGACTTGTATTTGCGTCTGATGAATTTTACGCGCGCGCGCGAGCTGTCTGCAACTCCGGCGACCAATCGAGATCGCGATTGCGGCGGAGGACGGAGAGGAGCAGCGCGCGTACGCGCGCTTACTCTTACGCGCGCATACGTTCGTTCGCATAAAATCGACTACGTACGAGCGGCCGACGTCCCGTGAATCGCGGACGGCTAGAGCGACCTTATCAATTTCCCTCGTCGGGGAACGGTTAATTGGATAATCGTCGCTCGCGTACGCACGTAAGAACCGCGGCGCTCGTATTGCTCGGTCGCGCCTTGCCGCCGCCGCGCGCGGCGGAGTTTTGTGTTTTTCGTTTCCGCTCTCCTCCTCGCATATAATAATTGTACCAGGAGCGTACGTAGTCGCGCGTGTAACGAGCTCCGCCGTAATTACGTATCGCGCGGAGTAGTCACGATCGAGGGTAGGAGGTAGGACGACGAAGAGGAGCGCAAGAGGCCGAAGAAGGGGCCGGGACGAGGGAGAGAACGAAGGAGCGAATAAGAAAATGAGGAAGAGACGGCAAGGCGAAAGCTGGCCTCGGTAGGAAAGAGGGAAAAGGTGGAGTCACACGGAGCGACCTGTCCCGCTCCTTCGCCGACCGGTCGGCGCATTAATGGGTAATTAACCCGAGCAGCTAACCGCGAGAGGGGGAGAGAGAGAGAGAGAGAGAGAGAGAGAGAGAGAGAGAGAGAGAGAGAGAGAGAGAGAGAGAGAGAGAGAGAGAGAGAGAGAGAGAGAGAGAGAGAGAGAGAGAGAGAGAGAGAGAGAGAGAGAGGGAGAGGGAGAAGAAAAGAGAAAGCCCCGGCGGAACTATTCCAAGATCCAGCGAGGGATCGAGATAATAATTCGTACGATGGACCCGAGGCGACCTGTATCGGTGTTCGCGCGACAGGCCAGACGAAGCCGCGTGCCTCCACGGATTCTCGACGTACCTAGTCTCCGAGGGTCTCGCACGGCCATACCGGCGTCCAGCACGTGGAGCGAAGCGGCATGGCGCGGCCCCGGCGACGTCGTGCTCCTCGTCGCGCCGACAAGACAAACGATCGACGAGGGACATGCAAACGCGCCGGCACGGTCCGCCGCGGCGCGGCGCGGCGCGGCGCATCGAAGGATATCATCGCGGAACAATAAGAAGTATATCGTAGGACGCGTGCTAATGCGTTTCTCGTGTTAGCCGTGGGACCGAGCTCGCCGTCATGCGACTCGTCCGTAGGAACGGCCGCTCTTTCAGTCTTCTGGCGTGCTTCTACCAATATTTGGAAATCCATCCGCGGCGATCGCATCGGCGACCGTCGGTGCCTAGGCGAAGGCCGGCGACCCTCCAGGTTCTCTCCGGGTGACGACGAGCAGGACGAGGGACGCGAGGGAGGTCCGCGCGCCGGTTTCTCGAAAATCAAACAGCCGTTCGACGAAACGACAGGCCGAGCGCGAGCCGACGCAACGGCAGGAATCCCGGCCGAGGAGGATTAGATCGAACGGCAACGGCGGAACCTGCTCGGCCGCTTTGCAATCGAGTTGCGGACTAGCCGAGCAAGCTTATCTTTAATTTGATCGTCGATGCAGAACCGCGCGCGAGCGCGTACACCAAATTATCGACGCATAGGAAAACTGTGGGAAACGTCACTTAGCGTGCTCGCCGTCGGAAAATATATGGCTGAATAATGCGGCATCTCCGGCAGCGGTGTGTTTTTGCGGCGTGCGCCTGATTAGAATATAAATTGACTCTAATCGTCATCCATCACGGCGGAGGGCTGTTCCGGATACACGGTAGGACGCGGAATTATCGAGCGTCGCGCGTCCTCCTCGACGGAGATCTCCAAGATCACCTCGCGGAGATGAGATGGCGGCCGGCGAGCGTTTCGCCCGGTGGAAGGCCGCGCTACCGCGTGCCTGAAATAACCGTATCCCTGCTCGCTCATGGTGGACGAGAGCCACGTGGCCGCGCGAGGATGGCACGTGCACGCGCTAACTGCCGTCCGATCGATAGGTGAGCTCGGCGGACGGCTGCTGGGTCACGGGAATTCCTCGGGTCGCGATGTAATCGGCCATATCGCACGCGCGCGCGCGCGCGCAAGCGAGCGAGCGAGCGAGCGCATATCGTAACGAATTGCAATGTATGAGGCGTGCGTGGATTCCACGCACGAACGTGGGCTGCGAAGGCGCCACGTCGCGTCGCGTCGCGTCACGACGGAGAATAAGAGGGAGGGAGGGAGGGAGGGAGAGAGAAAGAGAGAGAGAGAGAGAGAGAGAGAGAGAGAGAGAGAGAGAGAGAGAGAGAGAGAGAGAGAGAGAGAGAGAGAGAGAGAGAGAGAGAGAGAGAGAGAGGCGAGGAAGAAGTAGCGGCGGGAATGCGACTTTGACATTCTCCGCGAAACAACAGCAGAACACACACCGCACCGGGAAGGCGCGTGGACGTCTCTGTCGAGGCGTCGAGCGTCGGCGTTCGGCGGCCGTAATCGCATCCGGTATCGCGTCGGGCGCGGCCCTGATCCCTGCCGGCCGTCCGCTGACACAATCGAACGTTCCTTTACGTACATTTCATCGGCGTTCCATCGGACAAAGGTGCACTTCCATAAATCACGGCCGGACGATCTCTCAACTTTGTAAACCGCACGCACGCACTCACGCGAGGCCCCCTCCCCCCCTTAATTGGATGAATGGAGAAAAGGGCGCCATTAAGCGAGCAACGGGCAACCTACGCGGCGGCGCGGCGGCGGCGGCGGCGGCGGGAAAGAGCGGAGAGAGACCGCTCGAGGGTTTTCTCAATGGGAGATCTCGCGGTTAGAGCCGATCGAAGGACAATGGCCGAGCGAAATTTCAACTCACTCCGCGCCCGGTCCGTTGACCGGACAATGTGCAGTCGCACTGTGTGCTGCGGGATTAATATAGAAGTACTCGTACGACAAGACAGCTGATACTTCCGGCAGCGCGATCGCCCCCACCCGTCGTCGTTATCCCTCGTCTTTTTTCGCTCTTTTTTCTCTCTTTTCTTTTTCTCTCTCTTTTTTTTTTTTCTTCATCTTGCCTTGCCTCCATCCCGGCGCGTCGGGATGACTCGAGAAGTCCCACCTCTGCAAACAGGCAGCCCGGCGGATACGAAACGAAGAGAGAGAGAGAGAGAGAGAGAGAGAGAGAGAGAGAGGAGAGAGAGAGAGAGAGAGGCAGATAGAGACCCGGGCCCCGGCCACGAACCGGCGTGTACACAAATACTCCCGTGTCGCATGCCAATCAAACCGCGTACATTGCATACGCGCGAAGGCATACGTGTGCGTTTCGCGGCGTGTGACGAGCCCCGGGCCCGTTCCTGATGATTCGTTACACGCCGACGATGCGAAAGCACCACTCTTACCGGATTATATTTTAATACCCACCGAGGAGCGCGTACACACTGCTGCAAGTATAAAATAAGCTATCGGGGGATCCCGAAGAGAACGGTATTCTGTCTCTCTTTCCGCCGCGGATCCTCATTACCCCCGCGTTAATCAAGCGAATCGCTCCTATCGAGTAGCGCTCTATCGCGCCTCGCGAAACTTGGCTGTCGCGCGGAGAGAAAAGATGCGGTCGAACGCTTCGAGCGATCTCTCGAGGAAACGGGCTTTCTGCTTCTTATAGATCGAATTCAATTCTGAGAAGCAGAAATTCCGTTTCCTCCTCTTCGGGCGAAGTGCGCGGGTTTGCTTCGCATGTCGTCACGTCGATTCCTAACCGATCTTTTTCCTCCGTGTATATTTGTAAAACCAGGTTGCTGCTAGCGTGCGCTCGAAATAATGGAGAGAGAGAGAGAGAGAGAGAGAGAGAGAGAGAGAGAGGGAGAGCATATGATATTTCCAAAGACTTTCGAAACAGTCAGCAACAGCAACGAACGCGGGATACACGGAGTGTGAGAAACTTCTTCATCGCTTACGAAACGCGCTCAACAATGGCGCAGCGCAAAGGGTCGCGGGCTTGACGCAAGAGCAACGCGTAAATTACACGTGCTGACGGCCGGGGAGCCATTTAGAAAATTAATAGTCTCCCTCTTTCTTTTTTCCCGCTCGGCCCGTAACGTCCTCTTTCTGCTTCTCGCTCCTAAATCGATCCTTCCGCGATCCCGTAACGCCTGCTCCGCGGCCGCGGCATCATCACGAAGGCAACACGAAGGGACAAGCTAAAGGGAGTGGAATATCACGTCGACGATTCACACTCGGAGAATTAATAAGAAGCTAGAGCGCAGGCTAACGTTCGATTTTTATTTGGCGGCTCGCGAGAACCTGTCTTAAACAGGAAGTAAATGTGCCGGCCGCCGCACTAGCTGCGAGCGAGGACGCGCGAGTTAAGGATAGAAGTTAGCACGAAGTGAGAACGAAAAGAGGATAACACAACCGGCAGATCGACTAAGCGTTAGGCTGATATATGAGATTGAATATCTGTCAGAAATAAAAGAGACCGCGCTGAGACGCGAGAGTACAATTACGCTCGTGAGATGGCGTTCCGGCAAAGAGGGAGGAAATATAAATCGATGAGGGAAAGAGGGGCAGATAGACGGGCGACGGGCGGGAAGAGAGTATCGGCTCCTCGATGAGATTTCAACAAGAATGGAATCATCGACGCGCACGCAGTCGCGACGTACAATCGCGCGGATATCGCTTCCGTGTGGCGGCGAAAGTCGCGATTCCTGTGGTCGCGTACGCGACGCTCCGACCAAGGAGAGCAACGTGCGCGTCGCGACGCTCTCGTGACAAAAAGAGAGAGAAGGAAAGAGAGAAAGAGAGAGAGAGAGACAGAGAGAGAGGGGGGAGAGAGGGAGAGAGAAATTGCACGACCGAAATGTTAATCGCCACGAATCGATCACTGTCATTGTGGTCCCGTAAAGTGCTGGCTGGAACCACCTCTACCGCGTAAGGATATTCCTCCTTGTACGTCTCTTATTCACGAGTTGTCGGGTAACACAATCGTAACTCCGGTGTGAATTTGACCTGACGAAGAAAGAACTCGGCCCCGCGGGCACGGGAGGAAGGGGAAAGAAAGAGAGGGAATAATGCGATTCTCGCCGCGCTTGTTCGACGAAATCTCGAATTGCACCTCCGCAAGCAACTCGAGCCCGCCGCGGACGAAACTCAACGAACTTGAGGAAACGATTCGCCAATATTTTTCTCCGCTTTCGAGTTGCGTGGGCATCTCTCTCTCTCTCTCTCTTTCTCTCTCTCTCTCTCTCTCTCTCTCTCTCTACTCAAGCCCTCGACGGTCACTCGGTCCCACGCCGGCTTTCGCAAACACTCGGCCGTGGTTTCGACGAGAACCCGTATACTCGTTGGCGCTTTGACGATGGTGGGACGAAAAATAGGGAAATAAGGTGCTCGGGGCTACTCTCTTACCTGTGTCAGGATCCACGGCGAAGCTGCTGTTGGACTGAACCACCGAGTACCTGAGGAGCGAGTTCTTGTCGAGATCGGGGTCTGTAGCGTTCACGGAGCCCACCAGAGTGCCCGACGGAAGATTCTCGAGAAGCTTGAATCCGTAAAAGTCCTTCTCGAAACGAGGATCGTTGTCGTTGTCGTCCAGAACCTTCACTAGCACGGAGGCGTTCGCGGTCGCCGCGGGTGATCCGTTATCGGCCGCAAACACCGTCAGAGTGATCCGATCGACTGTTTCGCGATCCAAGTTCTGTACTAGGTAGATCCAGCCGGTGTTGGGGTTGATGCGAAAGGCGGGCGAGCCTTGAAGACGGTAGCTCACCCTCGCGTTATTTCCCGTATCCAGATCGACCGCCGTCACCTGAAGAATCTGCAAGTAATGAATGAGTTTTAGTTGAATAAATGTAAAGCAATGCTGAATTGAACGAGCTGAGTACTCGACTTAACTAACTCGTCTGGAAGTTCCAGACGACCAATGGAATGTAGAGTTTCAGGCGAAGAGAAGCACGATGAAAATGGAAACAAGAGCAACCGTGTGTCATCCGGAGACGTTTCTCGCGATCTCGCAAGAGGGAGAAAAGGAGACAGAGGGAGAGAGAGAGAGACAGGGGGAAGAGGGTGCAAGAACAGGGCAAAAAAGAGAGGGTAAGAGGCGGCGTCGAGACAAGACCAGTCGATCCGGTCGTTCCGTATTAATTAAACGTACCCAAGGACCGCGAACCCTAAACACGTTCGGGCCGAAGTCGATGTTTTCCAGCGCGGGAGGATGGTGAATTACGAAGGTCGAAGAGGAAGAAAAAGAGGAAGAAAAACGCGGGATCGGGAGTGTATAAGGTCGCGTCCCGTGCATGAACTCGCGGCTCACGAATGATGGATGATGGTAGAGGGTAAAGCGAAAGAAGAGGACGGAATGCAATGAGGAGGAAGAAAAAGAGGAAAAAGAGAAGGAGAAGGAGGAGGAGGAGGAGGAGGAGAGGAAGATACGCAGCGACCAGGTTGTCTTAGGTGATGAGGAGGACCAGGGGGATGGACACGAGTAACCATTAGAAAGGAACCTGACGTGGGAGCAGGCAGTAATGTGTCTAACTGTACGTTATTAGTTCACGGCGGGTGAAGGGTTACGCTCACTGCAGCCAGGTTACTCTCTCGACGGTCACTCCTCTCCCGACCGTGGCAGCACTCTTTCTCGTACTCTCTCGCTGGATCTACCTCTCCATCTTCCTCCCTCTAGTGTACACTAGCGCGGCTGAGATATTGTCCGGATACCACCGACAGCTCACAGATCTGTTTCGCCGATAGATACCACCGATATATACGTGTATACCAGGAGGAAGATGGAACGTAAGATCGAGTAGCGTCAAGAGAAGGTGGAAGAGAAAGAGAAAAAGACGAACGGAGAGAGAGAGAAAGAGAAAGAGGGGGAGGAAGAGAGGGAGAGGGAGAGGGAGAGAGAGAGGGAGAGGGAGAGGGAGAGGGAGAGAGAGAGAGAGAGAGAGAGAGAGAGAGAGAGAGAGAGAGAGAGAGAGAGAGAGAGAGAGAGAGAGAAACGCGAGTTGCCGCGACGTCTCCGTTCTATCGTATCCGCGTGTACGTTGTATTAAAAATGTGACGTCATTTAACGGACCTATCTCGTGGCGAGGATCTCACCGCCATTCGTCATCGGTATCCTCGTATTCGGGATTACGTCCGCTCGTGGCTACCATCATGAGGAAGCGTTGGAGCTATCAGCCGCGCGCAACCAATGACGATCCTGTTCCCGGGAGTTTCGCGGCTAATGACTCTCTTTCTCCCCGCTCCACCTCGAGACATCGCCGTCGCAAGACCGACCCACCATCCTATCCTTGCCCTTCTTTCGATTTTTTGCCGGATAATGACTGATATGTGTAGATAATTACAGGGGGCGTGCGTCGCCGTCGGCGATCTTCGCGGGACCCAATCCGCGTTTGCGGGGCTCACGAGTATCGTTTTCGAATTCTCTTCGGGGCCGGTCTCTCCTCGGCGATCATGTGAAACGCGGCGACGGCGGTGAATAAATTTAACCAACTGGCCATAACGTTTTGGAATTTCACAAATCGCGTTCACCCAGGCTCGCACCATTTTCGGTATAACCGTACGTGACGCCTGATGGATCGCCCCATCGCGCACGGGTAACCGCTGGAACCTGCTCGTGAAATGATCAACCGCGCGCACCCGCGGCTATATCGACTGTTACCTATCAATCCTAGACGGCCGGACCCCGTGGTCGTTCGCAATCGGTATCAGCGGCAGCATGCCACGTCCGGATATCAGATTATCAGGCATTCCCTATCCATCTCCCGCTCGAACTGCTACGTCGAGGGTAACCTCGCGGAGCACATCGGCTAATCTCGCGCGGCGCGATGTTACGTCCAGTTAATTCGTTCCTAGTCGGCCGCGCGGTTAATTCTCTCTTTGCCTCGCAAGGTGAACTTCGCGAGTCAACATCTTCTTCTTCTTCTTTCTCGTCTTCGTCTTCGTCTTCGTCTTCGTCTTCGTCTGCATCTGCGTCTGCGTCTTCGTCTTGGCCTTCGCTTTCGCCTTCGTCTTCGTTCACCTTCGTCTTCTCTTTCACGAAGCTACCCGGAAGGAGAAGGGTGTCTGGTAGCAGCGGCGTACGCCTCGCGATGCGAGAGGGAGCAAAGGTTCACGGGCGCGTTCTTCCTGGTTGTCCCGGATAAAATTACGCATCCCAGAGACGGCGAGACTCTCTTAGCGCGCGGTGAGCAAAACGAAGCGGAGCCAGTCGGGGAAAAAGGGAACCATCAGCACGAAGAAATACCGATCAAGAGCGAAAGAAAGGCCGAAGTGAGGTTGTTAACTTCTCTACCGCCTCTCCCCTCCGACCCAGAATTTCTCTCGCACTCTCTGGCTCGTTCGCTCGCTCTAACGAACGCGTGACCGCGCACGAAGAGACGAGAGAGAGAGAGAGTGAGAGAGAGAGAGAGAGAGAGAGAGAGAGAGAGAGAGAGAGAGAGAGAGAGAGAGAGAGAGAGAGAGAGAGAGAGAGAGCACGCCGGCAGAATTCTCTTCCTCCTGCTCGCTCTCTTTCGAGAAGAACCCTATCGCATCACCTCGACAAACAAATGCCCGCATGACGGGCGTGTAATGAAGATTTTTCTCACCTGGGAATCGAGCCTGGCGCCTTCGGGAACCTCCACATGATACTCGTTCCTCTCGAACCTTGGGGGGTTGTCATTCACGTCCTGCACCTCGACGCTCAGGCTGAGGTTCGCCGAGTACCCATCGCCGTCCAGAGCCCTTATCAGGAGGCTGTGCCTCTGCTGGGTCTCGTAATCCAATCGCCTCGCCAAATAGAGCTCACCGGACTGCGCGTCTATCCCGAAGAGATCGTTACTGTTTTGCGCGAGGATGTAGCGTATCGGCGACGATGGCGTGATGTCCGGATCGGTAGCGTACGCCACGTACAAGGGCACGTGGAGAGAATGCGACTCCGGCACCGAGATGCGCACGTTGCTTGTGCCGAATACCGGTGTATTGTCATTTACATCTTCCACGATCAGCTCCAGCTGTAACAGAGAGAGAGAGAGAAACGCGAGGTGGTTACACGTCGCGCCACACGCGACGCGACCAGAGAACGGATGCGAGCGATTTGACGGTCGCGCAGCGAGGAAAACCACTCGTTGCCGTAGAATCAGCGACGGCGAAATATTCGCCGTCGCTGCGCGAAAGACGATACCAATCTGCTAATGAGCGCGTGTTGCGCGGAATATTAATACGGTAACATTTGCTGGCGCGCCCGCAAAAATGGTAACTCGGCAACTTTTCGCACACTCGGAACATTATATGTGCACGTGGGATAAATACTGAGAGAACACACAGGGATAAACGTCTGATGATTATAGCGAGTTAATACCGAGACGATGATTATCCGAGGGATATGCAATATACCTGGCAATAGCCGACGAAGCCGCCATTACGTGCCTCGACGCTGAGAACGTATTTGTCACGTGATTCCCGATCGAGCGGCTGTCGAATCCTCAGTACCCCCGTGGTGGGATCCAACGAGAGATCCGCTTCCTCTCTCACCAGATAAAACCTGCTCAGTCGTACGCCTGGAAATGCAAAATACATGATTTAAATAACGCATACAGACACACGTACACACGCGTCAGATATAAATAAGCCGGAAAAATAACAGAACTCTTAAAACTGCCGGGGAGAGACGCGCGCAGCATTAATTTATTCATAATAAGTCTCGTTGTCGTGCGTATATACACGCACGGCACGGTTCAATGCGGGTTAATTAAAGCGGTTGTACGGGAATAATCTCGATAAATTATGACGTCGGCTACTATCGCCGGGCGTCCAAAAGTAACTCTATCTTCGCCGTTGCATTTGCATTTGAGGAGCCGCATTATCGCAATTTAGTTTTCGTAATGGCCTGCGGACTCGCCAGACGTATTCACACCGCGGCGCGGCGGCCTGATCGACGTCAGCTGCTATTAAATCACGGTGTTTACATCGCGCGCGTTCGCGACTAAACCGCGGGAAGATCGATGGCCGCTTCATCCAAGTCACACAAGTGCGCTCTCGTGTGTTTCTCATCTGTCGATCCTTTATAAAGTTCTAATGAAGACGTCACACACACACACACACACACACACACACACACACACACACACACACACACACACACACACACACACACACACACACACACACACACAGTGCGACCTCTCGATTTGTGCCGTTGCGACGCGGCGACGTCGTAACTTCCCGTGCGTGGCCGCTCGTCGAGACGATCGTCGTGTCGGGGTAAAGTACGGCCCGAGACGCGGCGCGACATCAAAGAGCTCTCAACAAACAAACGAGATACATATTTTAGAGGGACTGTCCATCGGGACGAGAGCAGGGGGAGGGGAGGGAGGAATCCGACGCTTGACCTCGGCATCGCTCGGCATCGTAACAGTCGGTCGCTTCGTGTTACCGCAATTTGCCTAATTAGAGGCGAAGTTAATCGACGTCTTTTTCTCTCTCTCTCTCTCTCTTTCTCTCACTGCGCGCTCACTGTCAGCTAACTCGACCAAGAACGCGCTCGCGAATTTATTCCACGTTAAAATTTCGGCGGCACACACCGGGTCGGCACCGCAAAAGCGAGCGGCCTAGTCGAGGTTATAGCCGGTGCGCTAAGCAGATCTTCCAGGGCGAGAGCTGTCGCGCTTCTTTGAGATCTCATTCGTCACGGTCGCGATGCGGCCAGCGCAGCGTTCCCCGAAGGGTCGTGTCGTCCGATCGGCGGCACGATCTTATAGAAGATCTTTGGCGGGTGGTAGTATGCTACACCGATATGGGACGTGTGCATGTGTGTGTCCGTAGTATTGGAGATGATAATACGAGTCTCGTTCACCGGGTAGCGAACGAACGAACGAACGAACGGACACAGGCACGCGCACACGAGCGGCCATCGACGAATGAATGATGGCGGTTTATCGATTCCACGACATCGACCTCGCTCGACCTCCTCGCACGAGTCGACCGGGACCGCCCGGTCCCGCTGCTTCGGAATCAATTAATAGCCAAATTGGCCGGTCATTACCGCTGGCAGATGCAATTCCATGATGAACGATTCGAACGCCGGCCCGGCGCATGTTTCTCGCATAACGAGTGCCGTTGGCCGTCCGCCCACGTCCAGCACGCCAAGAACCGTAAGAAGATCCTGCGCGTTGCGGGAAACAAAACCGCGGAACGATCGCACCTACGACGCGCGATCGGAAAAAGTCGAACAACGATCTCTCGTCGGACACGTCCCTTGTCTCTCGGTTGTGTGTATGTGTGTGTGTCGTCCCTAGTTCGACGGATGATGATGTCTAATTTGACAGCTTATTTCGAAGGGAGAAAGAGAAGGGGGGGGGGAGCGGGGAGAGAGAGAGAGAGAGAGAGAGAGAGAGAGAGAGAGAGAGAGAGAGAGGTCGAAGTCATTAGTTCAGTCGATATCGAGTTAGAGACGAATCATTAACACACACGCGCGTCCTGCGAACGTGAAAAGGATCTCAATCAAATCGATGCACAAAAGTGTTTTTCAGTGTACTTTCGTAAACGGCAATTAATGGGTTTATTAATGATGCCTGGGATCCCATTGAACAGCGATTCATTAGGGCGCTGGCGTGCCGTACCTTCCACGTTATCCGACGTTGCTGTGAAAACACGTCGCGCGGCCACGTCCAATTACAGACAATCCACCAGACACATATGCGGCCGGCTAGAGCACGCACACAGCACGCGTATACCGATAATTGCTCCGACCGATCGATCGTCCGCTCGATCGATCGATCGCACGCAGCCTCGGCCAAAACGGGAGTTACAAGTACTCGGGCCCTGTCGGATATCCCTCTTAGATGCGTTTCGACAAATCCCGCGGATCTACCGCGACGCGATAAGTCTCCCAGCGGTCCCGGTCGAGTTTTTCCCCGCGACGCAACAGGAGAAACCAGACAGAGCGGAGGGAATCGATCAGAGGAGAGAAATCGAAGGAGGGTTGGTCCGCGAGATGTGGGCTGCGGGCTACTTCATTTCCACGATCTTCTATGACGTCTGTATCGTCGTCGTCGTCGTCGTCGTCGTCGTCGCCAACGTCGTCGTCACGCGAGCAGTCGTCGACGACGGCCATGTCCCCGATGTCGTCGGTGATATCGGGTGACATCGAGCGTTCGACCAGTACCTTAAAGATCCGTACTCGGTCGCGTACGTGGACGGCATAATTTGCGGACCGCTATTTATACTCGATCCTAACCGCTCGTCCTTTTCCTCGGTTTCCCCTTTTGCATCGATGCACGCGACGCTGTATGGTGTGTGGTCACACACTGTAAGCTGCTCGCGCACGGTTTAGCGGCGGCACGCTGGACGGACGCTGGATGCTGAGAATCGCGCGGAAGGTTTCTCGCGCGTAAGGCGAAGAAGTGAAAAAAGACGAAATCCGGGCTTCGCTCGGCGCGTTCGCAACGTCGAATAACCCCGTGAGCCGTTCGCGCCCTCGATCATCGATACCGATCCTCATCACCCACCCACCTAGTTTGTTTTGCGGTGGCCCGGTTCGAAAAGGTTGCCCGGTCAGACACCTCGCATGTGTGTGTACTTTTGCACGCTCACCAGTCGCCGCGGCCGTTTGCGCGCTCGCGCGTACGTACGTACATGCTCGGATCGAGCGATTCGTAAAATGTATAAGCGCGCAGGATGAAACACTGCGCCCTTGCGTGAACGTATACGCGCGCGCGCGCGCGCGCGCGCGCACAGCGCGTGTGTAATTACGCGTATGCGTCGGTCGGTACCGCGAGACTGGTCTGGAAGACGTATACGTTTTATATCCCGGCGATACCTCTACCCATCAGCATTCGGTACCCGTGTTATTAAACGTCCGCGTGATCTTTTTCCATGGACTCTCTCGCCGCGAGAGGAGGGTCCGCCGATCCTGTACTACTCCCCGTATATAATTACGATTTACTCCGCATCCCGATACGCCGAGATACCGCTCCGAGTATCTGGCCGTGTGCAAAAGGATTTCGACGCGCGACTTCGGAGGAGTATGACACGCCGGACAAATCTGTTGTGTCCTCTTCTCGCTCCCTCCTTGCCCCCTGGTCCCCCACCCTGCAGTCCCATCCTGCCGGGCCCCTCACCGCCGCCCCTCGTAAGCCAGCGTGGCGAGCTTAAAGTTAGCCGTTAAGATGCGCGACAACGCGCGCTCGGCGATAAATCGTAAGCGGGAATAATAAAATTAAGGCGCGCAAATCGCGCGTTCTTCGCGAAAACACCGTGTCGCGACTTTAATTGTCACCGTTGAGTAAACACTCGCGTCGAAAGATCGAACATTCGCATCCGCCGACGATTAATAATTTCGAGAGGGGGAGGGAGAGAGGGAGGGAGGGAGGGAGGGAGAGAGAGAGAGAGAGAGAGAGAAAGGGGGAGAGACATGAAGCAAATAAACGCGAAAACGAGCGTACTCTCGCCGTGCTATTTTGGCCGAAACGCGCGACGGCGGAATCGAGTGCCCCGTTTTTCGCCTCAGACGATCGCGTCGCGCAAGGTGCATGTGCGGCACGATCGCGTTTTTCTGTCGTAGTGCTGGCTCGCGAGGACTTCGTCACCCCGGTTACACACGCATCCCTCCGGGGTGCCCACGTGGGTGTAACGAAGACAAATCGCTCGCGTATTTGATTAATTCGCAGAGATCGCCGGCCCAGCGCGGATCTTCTCTCCTCCTGCTCCTCCTCCTGCTCTTCCTGCTCATCCTCCTCCTCCTCTTGCTCCTGCTTCTCCTCGCATCCTTCGTCCTCCGGCATCGTGAATCGAATCGGGAGCGAGTTTTTGCCGGTCGGGCAGAGGCAAGGAAGAAACCCGTAACGTACTCATTACTGATTCTCGCCCTTATGCGTCCTCGGCACGAATGGCACACGGTCGGCGACGTTCCGTTGGATTTCTACGAGAAATCTCGCAGCCGAGATGACCGATTAGATCCGCGAACGCGAGAGGACGAACTGGGGCAACCGAGACGCGGCGACACTTGAGCCGACAGAAGTTCGCTGAAACATCAGAAAATTTCGAGGAGCAGTTGAGACCGCCTCCTCGATTTCGCGATCGATTCACGATCGCGGACGAAGCGAAGCATATCCTGCTTGCGCGTTGTGCGACGACCGCCGCGTACGTACACGTGCGCGCGTAACTGCCAGATGCACCTCTTACATGCCTACGCAACCACCGCCACGTACTACCGCAACGTGACTTCTTCAGGTATCAACGACACGAAGCGGTGGGCTTCAGGGTAAGCGACAATCCCGCCTTGCTTGCGATAGACTCATCCTGACGCGACAGCGTGTCGTGATTGTCGTCGTTGCGCATTTCAGCTTCTACAACACATTACAGCCGCGCGATGATACGGCAACGACACGGCATCGTCGTTAAAAGTTGCAGAATCTGCGAGATTTACAGATTTACGGCCCTCGTTTCTATTCGGCCGTTTCTGCGACTCGGTCGTCGTTTCTTTCGAGTTTTCAATTTTGACTGCTTTCCTCTGTCTCTTTTTCTCTCTCTTTCCTCTTTTCTCTTCGGACGAACTTTC